TTGAATGAAATGATAAATGAATACAAAAAAGCAACATACGGGGAATTCCTGGCGCTGAGTATATTTATTTTCATACACTAGTCACGTTTGGTAAGGGATTTTACCGGATTGAAGAAGAAGAATGAAGGATACTCCACACACAGACTCAAATTAATATGTTGTGTTGTATATGATAAGGTACGATGGGGTTGGCGTATCCTTTTGGATAAAAACCCCTTATTAAAAAAAAGATTAAAAAAGAAAAAAAAAAAAAAGACTCAAATTAATCACTAAGTTACACAATGCCATATTTCCTTTTATGCCATCTTGGTAACTCTATTTCTAAAAACACTGAACGTTTGGTGCATTCAGACATTAGACATTTTTATAGTTCCTAATGACACGATTTTAACTCATTAAGTATCAATATCGTGAATAGTTCGTCTATCAATGTATTTTCAACTATTATACATTATCACTTTGTTGGATTTCTATGATTCCTTGTGTGAATAAAATCTCCATTGACGATGGAAAATGGTAATGTGAATTACTTATGTGCATTTAAAGAGATTATTTTATTCATACTAGATAAACAGAATTCTAGAGCCCTTCCAATTCCTCTTTGACTAAATATAATATTAAATATGAATAAACTTATCGCACAGTTGTAAACAACCAAGATATAGCAAGTGACAAATTTCTACACCTTATACCGTATCAACCATAGTGCTAAAAATATTTATGTAAACTGTTTTAATAGACAATTGACGGTTATTTTTTGATTGGGTACTTACTTGGTTCTTGGCTTTTTATGAGTTTTAAGTTTAAAAGAATTGTGCAGTGTCGTTGCGGTTTTCCTTATTGTACCACAGTGAGAAATAATCTTATTATTGACTGCACAAGTAACATATGTGTAAATAACTAAACTTATTCCTATATCACGCGAAAGTGGTAGCGTATGCGACTGTTGTTCTGATGTGTCTCGGGTTCGATTCCTGGGTCGGACCAAATGTTTGTATGATCTGCAAATATTTGTTTCGGTGTTTGGGTGTTTTCTATGTATAATATATATGTATTTACAAAAAAAGTATTTAATTATTCTATCAGTCAATCAAGCTTTCATAGTACAAGCTCTGCTTAGTTTGAAACTAGATGATTGAGATTTTTTTTATGTATGTTCCGAAGCACATGCATAAAAATAAACATCCGAATTGATAACCTCCTCCTTTTTGAAGTCGGTTAAGAAATTGTAATTTTTGTATGGAGTTGATCAATTATACTTACGAGTACATACTTTAATGATATATCTTATTTCTTATTACAAGTAAATTACGCAGGTGTGAATATGAGAAAAGTCGTAGGCAAAACAATTGAAGTAGGTGTTCTTAATATTAATGAGACCACCTAGAGAAAGAGCGCAAAATGCCTGTTAGCTCAGCACTTGACTAGGCTACTATAGTACTATAATAACTAAATACTATAATACATATAACTATTCCCACAATCAGAATTAGAAGAGTTTACGAATAAACTTAATGCTGCATCGACGAAAATAAAAGACAGAAAACTACAACTTTCATATCCGTTTACATGTACAAGTAACGCCATCTAGTCGATTTCGTCTAAACTACTTACGTATCTTCTGGTAGAGCTACGATAGAAGGTCAATAGAGGTATCTATAGCATAAACTAGGCATTGAATATAAATCAGATAGTAGTTAATATTCAGATAGTAGTCAGTTCTAGTCCACTGCTAGACATAGGCCTCTCCTTAGAAATGAGGTTTTGGCCCGCTACACAACGGGTGCAGAGCTGTTGTCCTGTATAGCCTTCAACCTTAGTCGGCTCTTGCGACACCCACGAATAGGGGTGGTGACAATCTGTATTCTTAATCCGTCACCACACGAAACACGGGTTGGCTTGTTGCAATCAATTCATACTAAGCGATAAGATTTTTAATGGATAAGTCATATGGTAACTTTTTATATCGAGACAGATAAATTGTTTGCTCTAAAAGATATTTTAGAGCAAACAATTTACCTTTACTTTGCCTTTACTTTATTATAGTGGAAATTGGATTTATTTTTCTTTTTACTTCTATAGCCTTACAAATGCAGGCAATTGCAACAAGAAAAATGCGAAACGGCTTCCACCTGACGCGGAAACCTTTAGTTAAATATTCGACGGAGTATATCTATGATTGCAGAATAATTATATAATTTTGTCCTCCATGCATAAGGCAAATAAACATTTGTAATAATGACTGTATATTCGAGAAGAGGACGGGAAAAAGTGTTTTACATAACTATTCTTCGCTCAAGGTTTGGTCCCACGTTGCCACATAACAAACTGAGTGTTATTACCTACAGACCGCTTTATTAGATGTGTTTTAGTTTATACATTGGCAACGTACATTATTGTTATTTTTCTGTTTCATAACAAACTAGTGTTACCCGCGGATTCACTAGCATAAAAGTATTTTTTCCAAAGCTCGGGCTTTTTATTTCAAAACTAAAATTCCCAATTTACTAGCTCTATCTCGTGTATGAGGCTAATACAGAAGATGCAAAAAAATACAGAAAATCTGTTGGAGTGAATTTATGAAAAGGGACGGAAATGTGAAACTGACGAAACAGGAAACCCGGGAGCGCGCGTCAGAGAAATCAAACACATTTGACCAATGAGCACGCGCGGTTCTACAGTTGGCCGTCTGATGGTAGGCGAGGTGTCAGATGTTACATTTCATACAAGTGCTGAAAAATTCGCTCGTTTTTTTATAACGGAGGTTTAATAAAAATATACATAATTAGGTTATGTCTACTCTGTATTAAATCCACTTTCTGACCAGTTTTTACTATCTTCTCTTCAAGTTCATGAGTTATGAACTGTATGGACACGTACGAATACTATTATGTCTTCGTAATCAATATTTACGATTTTAGGTCAACAGAATATCAATATTTATGACTTTAGGCAAACAGAATGTTTATTTTTGTTCCGGTTAGTGAAAGTTGATAGTTAGTGACCTGTTATAAAACTAGATATCTTCAAAATATTAAAAGACGCATATTTCTCTACTTTATTCAGAATCGACTACTGAATCGTTTTCGTCATTTTTGATCTGATAAGCTTGGTCTGACAAGTTATGATAAAAACTGAATACTAATCAAATTATGGTCAATGGTTTCAGACAGCTAACATTCGTGAATCGGGAGAACACGTTAAGCCGTCGGTCCCGTTTGCCATACGAATATCTGTGGCAATCCTTACGGGTAGTTGGAGCCTTAAAAAGTACCACAACAGTTTATCTACAGAACTTCAATATCGTCTAGTACTTGGGTTGTGGAGGTCTGATGGCAGTTGCTCCACGTAAAATAACGAAGTTCAGCCATGTCATGGTAGACTAAAAGTCGACCACAACCTAGCTTGGAAAAAGGTTCGAAGGATGAAGATCTGATAGTCATTTGACTCAAACTCGGCTTCAATAAACATTTAGGTTTTAATTTTTAGAATATGTATCGTTATTATAACTTTTTATAATAACACACTGTCACATGATACATACACACACTTGTCACGCATACGATTGTTGTACGGCAGATAGTACCGTGATTTCAATGAAATATCGAATTATTATTTTCGTTTATCGCTGTTTAATAATACAGTATTCAATTAATGAATTTCTATATAATATATCCAATTCAGTGAGATCCAGCAGAGGCTATCAGTCAGAGATTAACTGTTAAGATATAACTGTTTATACAACTTCAATAATAATAGGTACATAATTATATTATCCATGTTGTGTATAGAGAATTTTGCTCTTACTGGTTCGAACATTTCGAAAGGTATTTCTTGTTCCCAAATAATATAAATTGGGTTTTTAACCAGCTTATAATTATAAACGGATTTATTACGTGAAAAATATTAAAACGCATTGTAGTTGTTTAATATATAACATGACATATATAACACGACATAGTTATTTAATTACATAAGTTCGATAGATTGTAAAATCATCAATTATCACGATAGCATCAAAAAGATTACAAAAAATTTACACACATTAGATATGTGTCGTGTAGTGCGACAACATGTATAAAATAATTATTTAACTTTTAAAACAGTAGCACCAACTTTTATGACCTTAAATCGTGACGACTTGTAAAACACTGTACCTATTCTTTATTCCTAAATTTTCTTTTTTGAATAGGACCAAATGGGTTTTCTAAATCGGTTCATAAACGACGGATTTCTGAGTTAAAAAAAAACCTCAACCGAATACTAATACCATGAACATTACTGTTACGCCATAGGTGAATGTGGATTACAGCACCATCTAGTATCGAGTAAAGTACAACCATTGAGATTATGATTAACTAGCTGACCCGCGCAACTTCGTCTGCGTCTCTCATTAGTAATAAATTTTCTCCGTTTTTGAAACATTCTTCATTGGTGCTCCGCTCCTATTGGTCTTAGCGTGATGATATATAGCCTATAGCCTTCCTCGATAAATGGGCTATCTAACACTGAAAGAATTTTTCAAATCGGACCAGTAGTTCCTGAGATTAGCGCGTTCAAACAAACAAACAAACAAACAAACAAACAAACTCTTCAGCTTTATAATATTAGTATAGATAATTCTGATACTCTGCAGAGCTAGATGGCGCTACAAGTAACGTTTAACCGATACCTGAATATTCTTATTTGTCTAGAGCAGACTATCGAATACCAGGGATCTTTCTAGTAAATTCGATAGCGCTATAAAAGCGTAGCGTGTTGGCCTTTCGTCACAGTATCGTTTTACGATACAGCGAATTAACATTGAAGTGAATTTCTAGTACGACAAACATAAATAACTAAATACAGTGCAATAAAAGTAATCAACCAATAACTTTTTTTTATTATATAAACCGCTCATAACACTACTATGCTAAGGATCATGATTATATTTAGTTCCCATTTAGTTTCATGTGAGCTCATTCAAAGGTTTATGGTTCTAATCAAAAATAAAAAAATACCTGTGGAGTGGTGACAGGAGCAACGGGTGACGGCGATACGGGGACATGGGCCTGTTGAGCCAGGGTAAAAGCCCACGTCGCCGCAAACGTCATCGCCGCTAGACACACGCTGCGTTTCTTCAACATGATCACCCTAGAAATAAGATAATGCATTACTAAATTAAATCAAGTAATTTTCATTGGTTTATTAATGTTTTGCTTTACAAACATCTTAAAAACCTTTTTTTTGTATTAGGTATAGGAACAAGCAAACGGGTCACCTGATGGTAAGTGACTACCACTGCTCATAAACACTTGTCTTGACATCCCCCAGAATAAGGGGGAAGGGGCGTGAGGCTCTGGTTTTTTTTTTAATTTATGAAGGCTATCAATACACAAATCTTTAGTACTAGTGGTTATCCCATTCATAAATGAAAATTTAACTTTTTATCAGATTATTAATTTAACATTTGTGTGTTTTGTTAATTGTTTGTCTATGTTTTTAACACTATCATATACAACATTGTGAAGTAGAGATAATTGTTAATGATACAATAAAAAATATAATTTAAAAATTGTTATGTAATTATCTGATTGACTAACTAATGTCCAATAAGTACACTCTTTTCTTGAAGCTTTGAAGGTAGGCAGATGATAACCCGTTCCAGAGATTGGTTCATCATCATCATCATCAACAGCCTTTAATAGTCCACTGCTGGACATAAGCCTCTCCTTAGAAAGGAGGAGAACAGATTGGTTGTGCGCTGTTTAAATAAATAAAGACTTTCCAAATGCGTCTAAGGATCTCAGTTCCAGTCATACATGAATTTCGCACTAGCCCTAGAACTGAAGTACCAAACATCTCAAACTCTAAAGAGAAGAAAATAAAAGAGTTGAGGTTATAAGAGAGAGAGGTTTAATAAAAATTTATGGACCTCTGAAATAACAACCAATTTTTATTTTGTTTTTAAAAATGTTCGCATCTCACACATGGCCGTCTGGTCCCAAACTAGGCAGAGCCTGTACTATGGTAACCAGACTGTTGATAAACATACTTATATATTTCTAAATACATACATATTACAGATAAAGTACACCCAGACACAGAACAAATGACCATGCTCATCACACAATTATTTGTCCTGGGTGGGAATCAAACCCACTACCTCTAGCGTAGCAGTCAGATAATTGGTATCAGGCATATTTATTTGTTTCCCTTTGAAAATATATTTTTTTAAGATTTCAATACTTTATAAAGATATTTGCAAATTAGAGAAAGATTATGGAATGACATAGGTAGATTATATATAGATATATACATAGATTATATACATTGATTATATATATGTTACTTTCAGTAAAATAAACATCTTAAGGAAGCCATTACAAAAACAGCGACTTTGAATCAATAAATATTGTGATAAGTACAATATTTGATCAGCTGTATCAAACTAATTTAGGATACTCAATTTTCATTTAGCAAAATTTTATGTATATTTTACTTATAACTTGATAACCTTGGATTTAACCTTATGGTCAACTCAAGCTGAACGATAGTAAACAATAATTTATTAATAAAAGTCGTCATGGTCCCTATTTGATTCAACATTGAATAATAAATACTCCATGAAAATAATAGAGATGTTGTATGATCATAGGTCGGTACTCTTACATAAATCTCAACTAATGTATCGATATGCATAACTTATAAGTTATTTGCTTTGAATCAATTTGAATTCTTCCTCAAATTTAAAGTGATTCGTGTAGCACGCTATGAAACGTCACCCTGGACGGTGAATGTTAAAGAAAAAGTACTTACATTTTGTATACACCAAGGTTAACCACTAGTATAAATAAATGAAATAACTCCTAGTAATATTTATTTCATACTGATGCAATCATCCGATCAATTTTTTATAACATAGTCCATATTTTCCAAGTAGACCAAAATCTAAATCAGACAAACTGACAGTTTTATTCCGAGCGTTCACTTGACATTGAGTTACAACAACTGACATACGTCACATAGTGAAAAGAGTGATAATGCCAAGTTATCGAAAAATTGATATTGATGATATTGAAATGTTATTTATGATATTGATCAGATTAGCATTAGTGTTGGTTCAGAAATATATAAATTACCCCTATTTAAAAAAATGGAATAAAATGCAAAATATTTTAATGAGTTTATATCTATAATACATAAGTACTACAATGTTACAAGTTACTAAACTAACTGTTGATTTCCAACTAGTGTTCTAGGCCTCTTCATCATCATCATCAGTCTATCGCAGTCCACTCCCGGCATCTCCTATTGCACGGCACTTCGATCGATTTGCGGCTTCCTATTAACTTATTTTTTAATTGTTAATACCCTTCCTTTACTTAGAATTTGATTGTTCTAATGGTCATGTCACAGGAAATTGGCAAAAAGTTTTTCTATAATGGAAATACTCAACCAATATTGCTAACCTAGTGGATTTTCCACTAAAACTGGTGGTTTCAAAACCCCCTTTTAGTGGCGAAATTTTGCTTTTAGTGGCTAGTGGATTATTTTAGTTCTTGTAGTAGCAGTAGTATAGTAAGATTATAGAGGACTTAGGAAATGCTGTTTTCTGTGTTTTCTGGTGGTTTTAGATGTTGAATCTGGTGTTTTTGAGTGTGGGCTTGATGAGGGAAACGCGGACCATAATTTTTTTAATTGTCCTAGAAGTAAGTTTCCTATTTATGAATTCATTCCTCCTCATATTTCTTGCTCCTCTTTGCTTGTAGTAGCAGTAGTATAGTAAGATTATAGAGGACTTAGGAAATGCTGTTTTCTGTATTTTCTGGTGGTTTTAGATGTTGAATCTGGTTTTTTGAGTGTGGGCTTGATGAGGGAAACGCGAACCATAATTTTTTTAATTGTCCTAGAAGTAAGTTTCCTATTTATGAATTCATTCCTCCTTATATTTCTCATCCCACGTCCCTTAAATTACTATTATCTCCTTTTGTATACATTCTAGGTAAGTGTATAACTTTAAACAAAATTAAATTATAGTTTCAATATCATAGTGTAATATTTGTTTTTGTTTTACTGGTTATTTCTTGTTTTGTATATGCATATATATTATTAGCTGTCTATATATTTTACTAGTTTAAGTTTTATCATGCCTGTAAAAGATAACAATTTATTCATTCATTCTCAAAATTTTTTTTTGGCTCTACCACAGCTCTACATAAAATCCTTTGACAGTTAGTCTTTCAAATACATGACATTGGCGAAATTGTGGTTACACTCTACCACAAAGCCATTATCCAAAAGTAAGTTGAATCTGGTGAAGAGTTCATTTAATTGTGGGTAACACTGCACTCAACACTGTGCGACATATCGAAACGTCATTAATGAAACTTTATTTGTGTTGGATTGAAGGTTATGTGATTTTGAAATGGCGGGATCAATGAGTTTATAACAGAGAAGATCACAGAAATATCAAAATGCCCCAAGATTATAGAAGATTTAATGGTCCTGAAGACAGCGTGTCCTACAAGCGTTTTACAAAAGACTATTTAAAACCGTACAACATACTTAACGATGAGTTATTAAACGCAAAAGAACTTCGGCAAGACGGGCGCGCTTTGACCGAAGCGCGTAGCATGTGTATGTTTTGTATGTATTAGGTGGAGGGGCTTTAAAATAAGTTATCGACTAAGAATAGTTACTCATATTATCATTTTATTTGCAGTTGCTACAACACAAGTGGTATCACAGGCAAAAGGTTCTGCTTATGTAGAACGAGATAAAACGAAAATTATTTGCTCTGTTTTTGATCCACGTGAAATTCCACATCAGAATGAATTCAGGTACAATCTCAGTTATTTTATTTATGTTCAAAAATTATTTAAGAATAATCCACTTTAGAAGGTTATTGAACTTCTTAGTGGACGGGATAATAGATAGGTTTATATAGGTATTACGTTATTTACCTCTAGCCTAAACAAGGCAAGCCATGAACTAGCTCTATGAATGCATTCCAGATCATACTTACCACATCTCTTTACAAACACACATACTCTGTTAAAAACTAACAAAGTGATGAAAACTGAATTAACAGTTAGATAGTTGCATTGTTTACAAACCTGATCAAAAAATTTACTTTTTTAAACACCTTGTTGGTAAAAATGTACTGTTGCTGCTAACGGGCTAAAGCAATAGAGATAACAAAATTCCTCCAGGTATACTAAGTTTTAAAGTTTTCATTCAAGATAATTTTGCATATTCATGGGAAATACATTACTTGACCACATGACGGGTACTGGTCTCAGCCTATGACAACTGCCACTTGGTAGAAACATCAGGCAATTTAAAGGTATATACCTCTTGTTATGTGGCTGTGTTGAGTAGTAGTTGGTGTTTAGTCTATCAATTCTGTTTTCATTAAAAAGCACATCTGTTTCTGTAATTTTTGAGCTGCTAATATAAATATATGTATTCCTGTCCACATTCTATTCTCATATAAATTTGAACTTGGTTAATTTTTTCTGCGTTTATAATTTCAGTCAACTAGGTCAAATATACTGTGAAGTGAAGTTTGCTACATTTTCATGCCCACGCAAAAGAAGACCACATGCACCTGATGCAGAAGAAAAAGCTCTATCGGTAGCATTAAGAAAGGCTTTGGAACCTGCTGTTTGCAGACATTTGTTCCCTAATTATCAGGTATTTGAAGCAGTTCAACTAAATTGTATAGTCATTCGAATATATTTCGATAGAAAATTATTATATGTTGCTAAACACTAACATTCCATTAGGTCTCCATTTCACCTATCATCAACAGCCTTTAACAGTCCACTGCTGGACATAGGCTCCTTAGAAAGGAGGTTTTGGCCTACTATACTATACTACATTTCACCTATAATAAATAATAATTTAATCATTGGTTTCATATATTCCGTGTAATAAGAATACATAGTGTCACCATCCCTAGTCATCCCATAGCTGTCGAACCGACTAAGAGAGCAAACTATGCAGGATAACAGCACTACAAAGAGAATCAAACTTTAAACAAACCTTATACCAACCTGTCTGGTCAGTGTGGTATTGCAGGCCAAAACCTCCATTCTATGGAGAGGCCTATGTCCAGCAGTGGACTAGTGAAGGCTGTGGATGAATTGGTTTCATGAAATTTTTTGTTTTACTAGATTTTGATTTGAATATTGTTAGATTAATGTACATTCAATAGATACTTAGTAGAGGAGCTTACCTGTGTCGCATAACCTATTATAATCCTATTCTGTCCATCATGCCTTTAGTCTACTAACTCAAGATTTTTATTTCAGGTTGATGTGTTTGTATATATATTAGAACATGATGGAGCATGCTTATCAAATGCAATAAATGCTGCAGGTCTTGCTTTAGCAGATGCAGCTGTGCCAATGTATGATGTAATAACAGCATCTACTATCGCTGTAGTGGGAGATAAAATATTTGTAGATCCGACTGAATCTGAGGAGTATGTAGCTTTAACTAGTCCAGAGACAAACATAAATCATGGAGTAATAATTTTATCAATGTTGCCTGAATTAAAACAAATATCAGACTTTACACATATTGGATCTATGGATGCAGAATGCATAACAAACGCAATGGATATTTTAGAAAAAGAATGTATTAAAATAGTACCACATGTACAAAAAGTGATTGTTGCAAACTTAGTAAAAGGCTTTGAAGAAAGAAAAAAGTTAGAGAAAGAAGCAGCAGAAAGAGAACAACTCTTAAACACTAAAATGGAAGAATGGAAAAAATTATTAAATGCAGGATGAAATTTAAGAATGTAGTTTAATTTTATTTTCCTCTTAGTATAGAGTCTCACCCCCAGACCTTATGGAGGAGGCATGAGTAGCCTGCGCGACTTGCCCCATTCTCTGACTTGAGTGGCCTGGTGAACCGGGCGAATTTTAAATCTCTGCAGGTCCCACTCCGCCCTCTCATTCACGAGCCTAACTTGGTCGTGTTGGCGAGCGTTTAGCAAAGTTCCACGTGCTCTCTCCTGCATTTAATGTAGATCAAAATTTCCTTTCACAGCATTTCATAAAAGTGAATATCTTAATAGATTCAAAGATTTAAAATGCGGGGGCAAAGCGGCCGCCGCCGCGTCGGGCCGTCCCGGGTGGCAATGGCCGGGTAGGAGCGTTGCGGGCCTATAAACATGCATATAATTGTCCTGTAGTATACACATATATACGTTAGTTTGTTTATTTAGGGCGTAACCACCTTAGGATTTCTAAATCTACTGTATAAACTATTCACTAGTATAATAACTAGAAATATATAGCAAAGAAATCAACTGCCTTTCCTGAAAAAGGTTTTGGCCTACTATACTATGCTGGCCAGACAGTTAGTGTAGAATTTGTTTCAAGTTTTCTGTCAAGTCTGTGGTTGTGCGTAGTTTGCTCTCTTAGTCGGCTCTTACGACACCCACGGAATGAATGGGGGGGTGACACTCTGTATTCTTATCCTGTCACCACACAGATTGACCACAAAACAACTTTTCGTTATGCTGTGGGTGCAAGTGACTCGATCGGGCTCGGCATGATAACACCTTGTACCTACTAAATATTTGTACCTATGCAACAGATTATACTAAAACCTTTATTCCTGATGTACAGAATTACAAATTTGAAGCCAGGCTGTGAATTGTTCAATAACTAAGGCATTATAATCATAATTATGCCTTTTAGACATAGCTTGTAACACAGATTTATATTTTTTCAATACTTATATAGTTTTGATTAGTTTCTCCATAAAAAGGAAATTATTAATCGGTAGAATAGTTTTCGAACACCAAATTAAGACTACAAAATTAGTTTTTAATCATACCTACCTTTGAATTTGAACAAATTCTTTTGGACACAATCTCAGGTTAACTTTGTCCTAAATATGTTTAGGTCCACAGACATCGCTACTTCACAGACAGGCATTTTTCATTTTGCATCTGGTCATTGTTTGCAACTTTTGTTGACAAAAAAGTTGTTAATTTTTATCATCAGGTTTCTTTGGGTTTCATAAAATAGCAGAATAAAGACTAGTTGAATTTCTTTGAAAATTTCAATACATGTGTTGCAGGTATTGAGTTTAAAAACCTTGTTCTCAGATACAAGATTGTCTCATCTCTTGATAATCATAAGAGGGTAATTATACTTATGCACATAAATATTTCTGCAAATTAATGTAAGACTGGAATGCAAGAAAACAAGTTACACCTGTCATTAAAATATTATAATTAGACATAATAACTTAAAACTTGTAAAATATTCAGACATAAATATAACTATTTTAATCTTCTGGTTTCTCTGGGGGTGGTCCACAGGGCTGCAGCATTCTCTCCATTAGGTTGAATTTAACACGAGCCTTGGATTCGTTTTCAACGATAGCAAAGTAGCTCAGTAAATCTGGATGACCCATGTAACTGCAACAGGAATCTCTGTGCTGGTTAGTAAGCCATTCGTATTTAGTTGTGTCTGCATGTCCAGTACCGATGTACTTACTTTGAAGATGCTCTAACTGACTGTGTATATTGTATCTTTCACCCATTGTGCTAAAACAAGTAATTATGAGGTTATGTTGTGAAAATGGATTGAAAATTAATTGTTACTGTAACACTGATCAAGATATTATGATGCAAGAAAAACTGTTCTATTCAAAATTACTCAATGTTTTGTTACCTTTCTGATTCAAACAAACTTAGAAAACAACGTCTATCGACTATTTACTTTTGAGCACACAGAGTCAAACAATCAAACGATTATTAACGAATCCTAAATAATCCTAATCATAGATAATACAAAAAAGAATAGACCGAATGTCAAATTGTCAACTTTAAGGGTTGTCAATACAACCACTTATTTTATATCGAGTTCAGGGACAGTGCGCTGAATCGTCACAAAAATATTATATCATTTTATTTACAGACCTTAAAGAATGTAACAGTGTTGCTAGACCAATCGATTGACAGTCGATAGACGGCATGTGCCATATGTGGTAGCTTTGTTCCAAACTACGACACTACGTGCGTTGCACCCGTTTAACGAGTCGTACTGCCTCACTGGGAATATTCTCATTTCCTTTGGAAAATAAGTAATTAATTTTAAGGCCATAGAATTATTCAACGCAGTACTTTAATAAACAATTAAGCCAGAAAATCTTATTTTAAGGATAACACAATAAATTTTGATTTTATTATAATCAGTACTTTGTATCTACCCTGCCTTGAAATTCAACATGTCCCTCATAGACAAAGCTCATCTCCTCATCGACCTTAAACTATCGAAAAATAATTAAAAAAACTTTACTCAGAAATAACTTAAATACATTAGATTGCTTTTATATAGACATTTAAAACTTCTGACGACAAAATATCCTAAAGTACGGCTACGAAAACGATAGGTACACATTTTTGACACTCAGACTCGGTTTTCACAAACTTATCAACTATCAGAGCTTAACCTAAGGTGAAAACCTCGTAGAAACAAGTTATGCTTTTGGCCACAATTCACTGTTTTTGGTTAACATAGTATGTAAATAGCTGAATATATACTAACACACAGTAGAATTTAAATTTAAATGATTTCGCTCAATATTTAATCCTTTCACATTATATAATTACAATCACATGATGAGGCCTATAACTTAATAATAGAATAGAAATATCAACAGAAATAAGTATATGGAAATATATTTCTATGGTTGTTAGAATTTTCATTACATTTATAAATAGACCCGTAATTTTAAATTTTTACTTTTTGATTGATCGACTATCGATTAACATCTCGTGCATCTATATTCCGTCACTTTTTTTCGAAATGTATTCAGAAGAGGACGAGTTATTGTTGGCCAGTAACTCATCGTCGTACTATTATTACGGAACGCAATCGCAGAAGACTATCGATGAACACGATTTTAAAGACTCGGATAATCAAGCAGCTTGATAGATGTCAACTATTCTAACATTGAAGATCGACTAATCCATTCTACCATCGATGGACGATCAATCGATTTGTCTGGTAAGACTCTAATAGCCAATTACACTTTTTAAACATCATTTCTTTAAAACGTAGTAAAAATAAGTTGTATTCCGTCATATGCTTTATATTATTTAAGTATATTTATATGTTCAAAATACTTATAAAGAATATTTAAGAATATATTATAGAAGTTGCTATAAAGTCAATATAAAACAATTTTCAGTAGAAGATAAAGGCAACGAGAGAAAGTGATAATAAGTAGTCCCCTCTATCTCTTTCTAATCGAGTTTTGTGGTTGACTGGGGAATATAAGGGATTAATAAGTAGCCAATCGTGGCTTAGCTATACCACGGTACAATTATAATACAGTACTGTAACTCGGCCGCATGATAGAAATAAATGCCTACAGCCGCGCGGTACGTAAACATGCGTTAGGGCTGCCCGTCTCCAGCATTTTAATTATATTTGCCTACTTTCTGTTTCTATTTAGATTTGTGATTGTAAATATCCTTTTTTTATATAAATAAATGAAATACTTTGTATATTGAATAGGAAGTGTTCAATAAAAATGCGTGTTGTTTTTTGATTGGTAGATTTAATTAAAAAAACATGTTTTTGTTTGAAAAACAAATCGGGCTTATAAATTTGCGACCGAAAAAAATCCTTCTATAAAATAAAATAAATGTGCTTTCTCCTTACGCGTTACAAAACTCCAATCCTTAGAAACTCCAACACCTACCTACTCAACTAGAATGCAAGAAACAGCTGACGAGTAAGTAACTTTTTATCTCAGCTTATTAACGTCTCTATAAATTAGGTACCTACCTACAACTCGCAACTACTCAAAACAAAAATTCTTTGGTCACCAATCAATTAATTATTAAAAAGCTGAACAGCTGACTACGAATGTTTTAAAATCACAACCTAGCTCTAGCTGTTGTTGTTAATACCGAGAAAATAAAACCAGTTTTTAGTTTTATATGTTGTTATAGTAGCAGCAGAAACACTTTGTGAAAATTTCGAAAACTGTCTAATGACACACAGACGGTAAAAATTTTTTTTTAGTATTATTCATACACACAGATAATAAACCAATATTATTAATAATAAAATACTACGTCTTTACTTTGAATTATGCAAAGTAACAAATCACACATGCACCGAAGTTTTAACACAAGCGTAAGTAGGTACCTACCTACTTACGCTTGTGTGTAGGTACCTACCTACCGTATCATGATTCATTCAGAACCGCATATAACTCCCTATTTCACTCGTCTCAATAACTTTACGTTACTCTATTTGCTTTATTTATTCATCCAAACACCTTTTTTTTCGTGAGATACAAGGAAATACTTATCCATTAAAAAGACACACATTATGTACCTACCTACTAGTAAGTAAAATTATTTTATAGTCTTACCTTTCAGAGTTTCCAGGTAATTTAAAAAAACTTATGTCTGGATGCGTTATTGACGAATTCATACAACCATAAACAGCACAATATTTCCTACTCGTCATATTAACTGATTTTTAGAGAAAATATCGCGCGGTTATTGTTAAAAAAACAACACACAGTCCGTTCGACACTGCGGTACAGCCGTGACTGTCTGCGCCCCGAGCGCACCCCGAGATCGAGGCGCGTAGGTATAGCTCGCATTTCGTCCGTTTGTATGAAGTTGGAGTACTGTATTATAATAGTACCGTGGCTATACAGAGACAGAGGGAAATATCGAGCATCCATCTATCTAGTAACCTGTCTCGCTTTCACTTAGGCAGCTATACCCCGTGTTCTCTCTATGCTTATATATCTATGTTAGTAGAAGACCTTTTTTTTTAAATGAAGGTGACATGACAACCATGACATAACTTATTGATTGACAAGTTTGTAAGCATAGACTAAAATAAATGTTAATAAGCGCCATTTTCAAATTTGTTTGATCGATGTAAGAACTTTCGCCTTTGATGTCGAATATTTATGAGAATTTTTACTTTATATAAATGATTTTAAACAAAGTTATGAAGAAATCTACGTTGGTAGATTTGAAGGATTCCGAAGAGAAACTTCGTAAACAAGCTAAAAAGATTATTAGACAGAAAAATGTAGACGCGCTAAAAAGACCGACACATTTATTTATGCACGAGAAAGGACTTACCAAAATTGTATGTATATTATTGCATAAAATAATGCTAGGAGAAGAAATGCTTGAAATAGTGAATAGCTTTTGTGTCATCACTTTACTAATTTATTTATTTAAATATTTGTCATCCTTGGCGCTTTGTGGATTATTTGGTCATACAGTATCCTAAACACTGTGCATCCAAAAAACTAAACATCTGCAGCAATATGGAAAAGAGATATTTACCTGTTGGCCATTAGCATTATTTTTATTTACGACTAAAAAAATATACATTCGATGAAATCGATCAGGTCTTTTTAACAGTTACTTTAACCACATCCGGATGAGAAAACACTAGTCTTCAGGTGTGATGGACCGAGATGTGAAAATTAATAACGTTTTAAAGAAACTGTAACCCCCCCGTATCCGTTATTTTTATAATTGTTTTATTACAGCCCGTCCCTAAGAACCCAACCCATATAATATACGCTTATTATCACAACAATCAAATTACGAAAATTGAAAACGTAGATAGTCTGTACAATGTAACTCATCTGCATCTACAATGGAATAAAATAACTAGAATGGAAGGGTTAGACTGCCTGCACTGTTTAAAGAAGTTGTATCTGAATAATAATAACATCAGTGTCGTTGAAAACTTGGAAGGTTTGAAGTATTTGGAAGAGTTACATATCGAGAAGCAAAATCTAGACAGCTCGGATGGCTTGTGTTTTGATCCTAGGACTATGAATTATATTGGCGTAAGTATACTTCTTGAGTAATGAGGTAGGTAGTAGCTTCAGCTAATCTTGAGGTTTTTTTTTGGGACTAATCCCTTCCCTGATGTCTGAGTCTTTGCGGATACTTAACAGTATACATATTCAACTATTTTTAAATACACGTTTTTAGGCTTCACTACGAATACTTAATGTATCAGAAAACAAAATAACTGACATGGCTTGGGCCAAACCACTAAGACGTCTGGAGGTTTTAATAGCGAAGAAAAATGATTTGACTGATTTCAAGGTGAGTTATATGTATTTTATTATGACAAAGTCTCTGTATTTCTTCTTACATCAAATCATTGACATGACGACAGGTTTTGTCGGATTCGATCGGACGCCTAATATGTCTTGACGTCATAGCTAGCAGACCTTTAGCGGAAAGAGATGTTTTTACTTGCAGCTTTGTTTGTTTCAATTTTACTTAATAACTGTTGAGCTCTTCTTCGTAAAATTTTACATGCTTGTAGATAATTACATTCTGGCAAAAGTACTATTCCCGAGAGGCAGAAAAAGTTATATTCTGTAATAATTATTGAAGCTCAATTTTGCATTTTTTTGTGCTATATGCTTATTTATGTTTCAGGCCGTAGCTGACAATTTGTGCACTCTGATAAGCTTGGTGGACGTCAATTTCCTTGTTAATCCTATGACTAAAAAGCATAGATACAAGGAGACGATTATAGCAAGGTGTTCGCAATTACGTAAGTTAAGAGCCATATAAAAAAAATTGCAGTTTTAATTAGGTTAATTTAAGTTTTAATTAAATATTACAGGTTTATCGTTTGTATGAGGTATTTATTTTTGTAAAAATAATAGAGTACAAAGGACACAGCTATCAAGGAGGGATTTTAGTGGTTTTCTGATTATGATTGTTTTTTTTCTAGATAATGAATACATTATTATATTTTTTTACTTCGTTTGTTTTGTACAGGTGAATCTATGAGCTCAAAAAACTAATGTCGCGTTGAGCTCAAGAAGTACGAATAACTTAGGTACCTACTTCAGAATTTAGACTGTCTACGTATTTACAATAAAATCAAGACACAAGAAACGTTTAATATTAAAATCACGATTGAAATGTAATAGGCCTCTTAACTTTTAAAATAGTTAGGGGTGTCTTGACTAGTTAACAGACGGAAGAGTCTTTGGTTAATAGACTTTTATATATTACTAGCTGACCCGCGCAACTTCGTCTGCGTCTCTCAATAGTAATAAATTTTCTCAGTTTTTGAAACATTCTCCATTGGTGCTCCGCTCCTATTGGTCTTAGCGTGATGATATATAGCCTATAAATGAATATAAATCTAACACTGAAAGAATTTTTCAAATCGGACCAGTAGTTCCTGAGATTAGAACAACAAACAAACTCTTCAGCTTTATAATATTAGTATAGATTACTCGCGATGCGCCCCGGCTTCGCACGGGGGCAATGTAGATACTACTAATACTACTAATGTGGTGTCTCTGTGGAGTAATTAATTATACTATTATTATGATAGGACTACACTACAGGACATCTTTAAATGCAATACTTATAGGCCAGTTCCGATCCTGTCGGCCGCTGTCACCTGGGACGGACTTACGGTTCAACGGTCGTTGCGCACCCGCATTTTAAACCTCTAATATCTTCTAAAATATTCATTGTAATGAAATGCTATAAATCCACAACGTATCTAACGTATTTAATTGGATAAGGAATAATAATGAATGGTTTAAAATAGCTTCGTAAATAACCTATTATTTTTTTGTAATATTTAAAAGATAAAAATGATTACTGTATCAAGATACTGAAAACTTACTTCGGGGCATTACATTAGTGGAAACCCTAATTTATCCCAAAACAATAAAATCAAATCCCTCAATCTCTCCCTCGCCAATGAACGTGGCTGGTGCATTCGGAATGCAGTCAGCAGTGTGCGGACTCTCCGGTCAAGGGCATCTAATTCGGTCTGAGTCTATCTAAGTATACCAAAGGAATACATCAGAACCGGACCTAATCATTGTCCCTGTTTGCCTCCTGATAAAAGACTTAAGTAGTTTTTTCAGACGGCCAAAAAAGCGTTCTTGCAAAGTTTGTTTCATGTCAGATTCTGGTGTTCCCAACGACTCTGCTATACCTAGATACTTGTAAGTTTCTGTGGCAGATAGAGATCTGAGTTTTCTTGAATCTGTAAGCTCTATTCCTTCAAATTCTACTATCACACCCTTCTTTACATACATGTCTGCACACTTATCTACACCAATTCCATCTTGATAGAATTACTAAAGTTTTCCGTCACCTTTAGTAACGCTGTCAATTGTAATTTAGTAAATGATAAATGATATTTATTTCTGTAAGTAAATCTTTTCAGATATTTTTACAAGTCGGACTTTATAGCTAGAAGGAGCCGGCACTTCCTAAGACTAACTCTGGGAAGAAACTAGGGTCTAGTTGTTTCAAATCATCCATATAAAAAAGGAGAGATAAAACTTGAGCATCTCTCTGCAACCTATAGCCTAACCCTGAACCCTCTAATAGAGTGCTGAGAGGGTTCGAAACCAGACAAAACCACAAAGGACTTAGACTATCACCTTGAAATATACCTCTCTCGATCTTTATTAGTACATCATTTACCGCAGTCTGCTGACATCCTGGATAGCGAAATGCTGTTCTCTATTGCCCCATGCATGAATCCAAGAAAGTGCACAGAGTTGTATCAATTTTGTTCAACTCCAGCACCTTCAAAAGCAATGTGTGTGGAACCGAGTCATAAGCCTTCCTATAGTCTATCCAACATGTCGCAAAACTCTTACGATTACGACGTACCTGTTGGCTAATGGTCCTGTCTATGATAAGGAGCTCTTTAGTGCCACGGGTCCCACTTCTACATCCATTCTGAGAAACTAACAATCGAATAATGTGTAAAGTAATTTTGAGTCTCAGAGTAGATGTTAGAAGTTTATACATTTTGTGGTTTGTAAACATGGTCTAAAATTTTTGAGATCCATGACACTACCAGATGTAAGTGGGTTATGCCAGTGGTTAAAACTTGGGGTAATGAACACGAATTCAATGCTGCCTGGAATTGAAAATGTTAAATGATACTTTTTGATAACTTATGATCTTGCTCATCGATTCTTAAAAGCCGGCAATTCAAGTTTGAAGATAGTTATTATTATTATTATTGTGAGTTATCCTAGTCCGTGTGGTGACGGATTAAGAATACAAATTGTCACCACCCCAATTCATCACGTGGGTGTCGTAAGAGCCGACTAAGAGAGCAAACTAAGCAGGACAACAGCACTGCAAAGAGAAGGAAAACTTGAAACAAACCCTATACCAACCCGTCTGGCCAGCGTGGTATAGTAAGCCAAAACCTCCTTTCCAAGGAGAGGCCTATGTCCAGCAGTGGACTAGTATAGGCTGTTGATGATGTGATCGTTAGGTGATAGACATATACCGTCGCGGACTTTTTTGTTGATCTTTTTAAGATTTTAGATCTTTTTTTTATTAGATTTTTTTAAATTCCATAGTACATTATTTTGGTCTATCTCCCAAGGTTTAGCCAGCGTTTTCAATGTAAGCGCATAAAAACATGTTTTTTACGACAAACCTTTGAAATTCTCGAATTTGCTCTACTATAAGTTGCATGTATTATGTACATAAACCTTTCTCTTGAAACACTCTCTGTAAAATCTGAAATCTCGTCAAAATCTGATTAAAAGATCTAAGCGTACCACGTACCACAAAAAAAGCGACTTTATTTTATACTATTTAAAGATACTAGATAAATACTATGTCTCTCGCACACAAACAAAAGTGTTTTTGATTAGGTTAAATGATACTTTTCGATAGCTTATGATCTTGCTCATCGAGTCTGAAGATAGTTGCACCATAGATTTCATCCAGCGAGATTTTTATTTGTTTTTAAGGTGTATTGGATACAGTCGTTCTCCACGGTTCCTCCAAGACTTTTATGCAGAACTTCGACAAAATTGTCCGACTCAGGCAACTGAACGAAAGGAACAAGATAGCTAATACAAATAAAGGAGCTGATGACTTTTTCAACCTGCACATGATGGCAGGCCCAAGAGCTAAAAGTGCTCTATCTATAAGTGAATTCTCTAATCAGAAACCGAAACGTGAGTGAAACAATATAACTTTTCTTTGTCTTTGGACTGTTACTAGACAGAATTAAAAGAGCACAAAGAGATACTAATGAAATTTCCGCTAGAATGTACGTACAAGTGTATCTGTGCGTGTTTTTTAATTTTTAATGTTTAAGGAATATTATAATCTCAACTTTTCCATCAGAATTTGATAGTACATTATTCAGTTTGTTGACGATAATTATTTGTCGTTACTCTCAGTTTCCCCTGTGTTGATGGTCGCTACTCCTCACCTAAAAGTTGATGTTATAGAGTAATTATTCAAATCTCTCAGATTAGTTCTATATAAAAGCATTTAATAAATCAAACCATTCTTCAACTTTATTATATCATAGTATAAAGCCATCCTCATGGGTTAATTGCATATAAGACACAGGACAAACAAACATATTTCGAACTTGAAACTAAAAACATTATACTTGTTAATACCCAATTACTACGATACTAATATGAACTGATTTATTTGTAGTAACAGCAGTGGATTCTACGTACACTTTTATGCCGCGTGCATTCTGGAGGACTCGCCACCCACCATCGAATAAACATCAAGCTTCTTCTCCGCCGATGGAGCCTCCGCCGATACCAAAACAACCTCTTAATCCAGAAATTAAAACACTCCCCCTCAAAGGCATTCTGAAGAAGCCAATGCCTATGAAGTATATTTAGACCTGTGATATTAACTGTTTTAAAACCTTGTAATAAAGTTGGAAGGATTTATTTTACGGTATTTTCATATTCCCCTACTTAATAGTATTCGAAAGAGGATTCAAGAGGGACTCTCAGTATTTTAAAAATAAAGAATACTTTCTTTTTCTTCACTTGATTTTAATAATATTCTATATCACATAAGGTGGCATTTGTTATTTTTAACCGACTTCAAAAACACAAAAGAGGAGGTTATCTATTCGTCAGATATTTTTTTTGTATGTTTGTTACGCGATATCCTTTTTTTTCATAATTTAGAATCGTACAAACTGTCCGAGAGACTAGTGACTTGCAACCCATGTTAGGTACGTTGCCAGCCATTTGGTATCTGTGTATTAATACCATATAATTATTTTCAGTTTTATCTTTTAAAATAACAGTGGAGAATGACAATTGTTAGTAACAAAAAAATATCATTTGTAGTTGGTATTCAAAATACATCCCAGAGTAATATAAATTAGAGTAACAATTTGTAAATTATATATATTTAAATAAAATTAAAACTAAAAAAGTCTTGTTACACATTTTTCGGTCTCGTTCCCCTCCGCTCAGAGTTTTAGTTCCAAAAATAAGTACAAGATGCAACAGTTTACCCCAAAATTTCGTGATCGGTTAGGGTGCGAAAGTGTAACAAATATATATATATATACGGGCAGTCAAATTTAATGTGCGAAACGTCTTCGTCCTGCGCTGGGTTGCAGAACTGGCAGGTCTCCAAACACTTAAAGCGATTCAACTATTGATATTTATTATAAGATTGCCATCCTAGAGGATTTTTCAGTAATCACTAAAACTGGTGGTTTCGACCCGCGAAATATTGCTTTTAGTGGCTAGTGGATTTTTCTAGTGGTTTAGTAGTAATAGTAAGATTATAAAGGAAGAGAAGGATAATTTATTTGAGGCAATGGAATGATATAGCCTTTGTGCTAGAGAGGGAGTGGAAAGTTCCGAAGTAGAGAGAGAAGTCAACAATGAGGGCTATAACTTCGAGGATGGTAACTATCATCCTACGGCTAACGACATCACAACTCATTGTGTTAAAATGGACAGAAATGATACTTTTTAGTGTCCCCAGAAGACCCAAAGAAAATTCAAAGTTGATAATATTGGGTCTGGGCAAAATAGTGACATAGTGCAGCGTCCAACTATTGGTTTAATGACCCAGTTAAGTAGCAGAAGAGAAATTAATTGATATTATTAAAACCAATGGTCGTTTTAATCTCAGTGCGTCGTTGTCTTCGGAAAGAAAAGGAACTGCCACATACTGGAAGTATTTCACTCCAAAGATGCCCAAGGGAATTCAAGGTTGTTAAAGGATTAACAACATTCCAATGCTGATGTTGAGAGGCTATTTATTAGAATGAATGTAGTGAAAAACACACAGAGGAATAAAATGAAGCTATCTGCTATGTTAAGAATAGTATAATAGATCGTTGAATCTAACGGAATAAGCTGAATATTTGTACAAACCTTTATTTTGATAGTACAAATGTCTCAAAAGTCACATATGGACACGTAAAAGTTGTAGAGGATAAAATTCTCTGCAAATTTTGTTGAAACCTTTTTTTATACTTTGAACCGTTTTTGAAATAGAGGGCGCAGTAGATGGAGCGCCTACACATAGGGCGGAGCGTTTAGGGCAGGCCATCATATTAGATAATACAAAAAAAAAACGATGGCCAGAAATACTTGAGCGTGTAAGATTAAGGTAAGCTGAGTAAAAAACATACACAGTGTTTATTTTAAAAAGTCTGAGATTTGAGCGTGATGTAAAGCAGTGCGAGGGTCACAGAGTTCAAAAAATCCCATGACCTTGTCATATTTTATTGTTTTGAAGCAAATAATGCAAGAAATCTATAAATATCTACCTAATTTCGTGCCTTTATTTGTCACATAAAAAAAATCACAATACTTCTAATCGACAGATTTAAAATACCCTGCAAAATAAACATCAGATTTTTGGCTCGTATGAATGAGAGGAACATCAAGCTGAACCGTCTGTATAAATTCTAACACGCTCGCGTATTTTAAAATGGCGATTTTTCGAATTTGCAGTTTGCATTTTTTATAAATCGAGCTTGTGTCACTGTAAAATCGTCAGACCTTCCAATGGGATCATTTTCTGCGTCCAAATAACACATCCCTAAAATATTTAATGCGCCCGAGTAATTGTTTTTCGATTTCTTCCCATTTTATTTTAAAAAATCTGTAGAAGCGATTCGCACCGCTGAAAGTGGATATATTATAGAACTTTTATTCATTCTATTACCTAATCTTTTAATTGCAATAGGTCGACATGACGCTCGAGTAAATCCACATTTACTCGTAGCATGGTAGGAAAATGTTGCAACGAATTTGAAATTCCAATAAACGTTTTAAAACAGATCGGTACCAAAGAATCTTATCAATTTGAAACTGACGAGAATAGTGCAGACAAAAACAATGCAGTTAAAATAAGTAACTAACTGTTGTTATTGAATAGTGTTTTGTGTTTTGATCTCTCATGATCTTCACTTGTTTGTTTACTATTAGTGTGTTGACTTATTGATTGTTAGTATTATGTTATTACAAAGGAAAGTAATTATTTATGTACTTATTACTTTCTTTCGTTACAGCTAATAAAAATGTTTGGCAGCTTTAGCGACCATTAGAGTAGGGCCGTTTTTCATTTGTGGTTTACTTTTGTTTTAAATAATGAATTTGGTCGAGACACAATTTAAGTGTTAGCAACACTGATTCGGAATGTTAAGTATGTATATATATTGGCATTTATGTTAGTGTGTAAGTACTGTAAGTTGAATTTACAAAAACAAAACATCCGAATTATATATACAACATGAATACTAAAATTTTAGCAGCTTTAAAGGTTTTAAAATATGAAACTTCAGGTAAGTGTCCTAAATAATACATCGTAGAACATAGGTACTGTTAATATAAAATACTTTTGCTAGGTAGCTGTGTATTGTTTACTAGCGACCTGCCTCGGCTTCACACGAGGGCAATTTAGATACTCATGGGGTGTCAAGTTATTAATAATTTTCATCATCATCATCATCATCAACAGCCTTTACTAGGCCACTGCTGGACATAGGAATCTCCTTATGATTATACTACAGATTCTCTATATATAGAGCTATTTTTCATGAGACAATACAAATAAGTAAAGGAAATCCTTCATACAATGACGTACCACGAGCCATCTAAGGCTTGTAGATGTAGCCCTAAAAGCCCTGGCACCCGGGACGGACCTACAGCCTAACGGCAGCTCTGATTTCTTCTAAGATATTTATTTCAATGATATGCTGTAAAAGGCAGATTTAATCTGCATTAAATGAACAATGTATCTAATATATTTAGTTAGATGAATAATAAGACTATTGTTAATAATCTATACTAATATTATAAAGCTGAAGAGTTTGTTTGTTTGTTTGTTTGAACGCGCTAATCTCAGGAACTACTGGTCCGATTTGAAAAATTCTTTCAGTGTTAGATAGCCCATTTATCGAGGAAGGCTATAGGCTATATATCATCACGCTAAGACCAATAGGAGCGGAGCACCAATGAAGAATGTTTCAAAAACGGAGAAAATTTATTACTATTGAGAGACGCAGACGAAGTTGCGCGGGTCAGCTAGTAGCTTTATATATGACCCATTATTTTCTATTGATTCTATAAACCATTTTTTGTAATAATCTAATAAATTAAAATAGTTTACCTTTAGGGAGATAGATAAATCTTTTTAAAATAAACAATTCTGTAGTTAAATTTTTGATCTGACTTGCAAGGTTTAACCAGCGTTTGCAATGTAAGCGCACAAAATAATATTTTTTATGATATTGTATTACAAAATTACAAACTTTGGAAATTCTTTACTTTTCCACTACAATATGCATGTATTATACATAATTATCACTCTCTATTGATGAAAACCAAATTAAAATTCATTGTGCAGTTTGAATGATCTAAGCCTACAGGGGGCAACATATTATTATTCTAAAATGCACTAGCAGATCATAGATCTGATGCTTGCATATCACTGCAATTGTGTTCATTTTGGTTGTTATTAAATGGTTGTCTAGTCTGTTTTTAAAAATGTTCGCCTATCCAGCACATTCAGTCAGTCAACATGCATTGTGGTAGAAAGTGTCTTCTAGGGTTGCTAACAGACGAAAAGACCTGGTAAGCTTCAACAAGTGTCCCCTCAATTGTATATTGGATTCATAGTATAGAGGTTCCTGAAGTCTTTCACAATGTAAAGATACTCATTGTTTCATAGAATGATATTACGAAAATTTTTACTTGGTTATTACTCATTTTATTTTTATTTATTTAGGACAACTTACAAAACAACTTGTTTAAAAACATGTTTTATAAACATTTGCTGAGTGTTGTCTTACTTACAAGTTGCCACGGCATGGCATACTCATCATAATTTCAAAATGAATTCACCAATTTAAACAATTCAAAAAGTATTTTGCACCTAAATATATAGCTTAATTCATTAATTGGTTTATTTAGATATTATTATTATAATAATAATATTTCCACTAAATAAATATAATTGTACTTATACTTATAGGATCACTTTTTGTTTGGATCTATTTTTTATTTGACTAATTTCAACAAAAAATAGTTATTATAGCTAAAGTATAAAATTTAGATACACCACACATTTCCTTTTGCAAATGATAATATTGATTGATTGATCATCTTCAAATTATCATTATTTTTATTGGAAATTAAATATGTTTTCAAAACAAAATATAGCTTATGTTACTCGCTGATAATATAGCTTTCTATAGGTGATTGAATTTTAAAATCAGTCCAGTAGTTTCGAAGCCTATCCTTGAAAAAACAAAAATCAAATCTTTCCTCTATACATATATTAAGTTAGAGATTGAGTCACTCAAATGTTTAATTTTATTTTAGATTTATATTTAGGTGAAGAAGTAGCAGAGACAACTGCCTTAGAGCCTTTAGAATTCCATCGAGATTATGTTTCAAAAAACATACCTGTTATTATAAGAGGAGGTTGTAAACAGTGGCCTGCGGTAAAAAAGTGGAGTGCCTCATATTTCCGGTAAGTATATTACCAAAAAAAAAAACATTTTCACGTTTTTTTCTATATTTGTTCATGTGGCTATATCTAGGATCAATTCTTTAAACGCACACTTATTAATTATATTACCAAGAAAAAATCCATTACTGTTTTAATAAGACTATCAAAAATAATATGACTTGACAAAGACTGGTTTCTTGTATCACTATGAGTAAACAGAGGCTTATGTTTTATCATCAACTTTAATTCCAGACATACAATTGGTCACAAAACAATATCAGTTGCTGTGACACCAAATGGACTTGCAGATGGAATTAGTAAAGATGACAAAGGTGACGAATACTTTGTAACTCCTTGTGAAATAGACATGACTGTAAATAAGTTTCTGGACTGCCTTGAACAGAAAAGGTATTTATTGCAAAGTGCAATTAACTGTAATATTTGTTTTTAATATAATAATATCAATTTAAAATTAAGTAATTGCAAAAAAATTAAATCAATTCACTTTTGTTATATTTTTAATGTCCGTGTGGTGAGGGATTTAGAATAAGCACTCCTTATTCTAAATTCGTAAGAGCCGACTAAGGGAGCAAAACTATGCAGGACAACAGCACTGCAAACAGACGCACAACTTGAAACAAACTCTATACCAACCATCTGGCCAGTGTGGTATAGTAAGCCAAAACCTCAAAGCAGTGGACTGCTAAAAGCTGTTGATGATGATGATATTTTTTAAAGCCTAACTCTTTCTGAGATCAAAGGACTTGTTTGTCTATTTAGGGTATCAAATTATATTAAAATGAAAATTGAATGTTGCTTTACATTCTATCTTCAGATTGTACATATATTATACCGTTAGACAGTTCATTATATAGTAATTTAAATGTAACATTTGTCATAAACTGCTCACACAAATTTTCTCAGGTTGCTTATTATTTATGATTTTAGAGAAAAGTTCATTCCATACATCCAGAGACAGAACTCAAACCTAAGAACAGACTTCCCAGAGTTGCTACCAGAGGTAGACTCTGATATAGCTTTTGCGAGTGAAGCTTTTAATAAGAAACCAGATGCAGTAAATTTTTGGATGGGGGATGAGAAAGCTGTTACTTCTAGTAAGTTTTTTTTTTAAATAATTTATATTTAACATTATGGTGGTGGTGTGAGATTTCTTTAAAACCAGTAAGATCAAATGTACAGTAACCATGAGGTGTTTTTTGTAAAATGAACCAAATAACTATTTGTAAAATTTCATGTCATTTGTCTTTGATAAAAACTATAATATCTTACGGACGATATCTCGTTACCTAGATACTAGTATAAAGCTTGAAAAAAATAGTATTAGACAAATCTAAAGAAACAATTTATTGCAGTGCACAAAGACCCGTATGAGAATATCTACTGTGTCATTGACGGACACAAAGACTTCATCCTGATTCCTCCCACTGATCTACCTTTTGTACCCTGCAAAATGTACCCCCAGGCCGGGTTTAAGCAATCTGAGGATAACTGGCAGATAGTTCCGATCAGGACTAGCAATGAAAAAGAAAGAAGTGGCTATAACAGAATAGAAGACGATGAGTTTGATGTCTCGAAGGGTCTGCCTTGGGTTTCTATTGGTAAGTTTCTAAGCATCCTCTTTATAAGTTTACTATTTAACTGTCAGTTTGAAACCGTGTGATACCACGGCCTCACAGAAAACCGTTGTTAAGCATTCTTTCTTTGCTTTTCTCCAAGCGAATGAGCTTACCCACCCAAACCTCCCCATCCCCAGATACCAGGGGCGGGGGGATATACGAGGCAAACGAGGCCCCTGATAAACCTGACCCCCGCCCATGGCAGTCTGCAGATAAAGAGTCACAGGTGCCATGCCAGCCTTTAAAGTGGGAGTTCTTTTTGAAGGATTGAAAGTCGCAGTCGAAATATCGCAAAATTTGTTCTACAGATTGGTTACCACAAGTTAAAAAAAATAATAATATTTTAATATCTTTATTCCAGATCCTTTATCACCTGATTATACCCAATACCCTGAGTACAAAAATGCACACAAGTACCATGTGAGATTAAATAAAGGTGATTGTCTATACCTCCCAAGTCTATGGTTCCACCATGTGAGACAGAGTCATGGCTGCATCGCTGTCAACTACTGGTATGATATGGAGTTTGACATCAAATATTGTTATTATAAAATGTTGGAGAAGTTGTGTGCCAAATATTGAAGTGTACAGATTTTAAAATATATTACTCCGATGTAATATCTCTGTATGCTTATTAAAAATAAATTATAATCATAGATAATTTAATTTTTCGTATTTTATACAATATTTTTTTTACGTGTGGAAACTGCCTCGGGCCGTCATTCCACCGGGGTTTACGGCGGGGTGGTGTGTCGGAGTCGGACCGACTAAAACCACACGGTGTGCCACTCTGCGCCTGTGATAGGAGGCGTCCGGGAACTGCTGTTATTAAGACATCTGGACTCCTCCTATTTTTATTTTATACAAGCTTTAACCCGCGTGTATGTTAGATAGAGCACTTGGGGATAATATACCTGTCTAACAGTGAAATAATTTTCAAAAAGGGATCAGTAGTACCGGAGATTACCCCAAACATACAAAATCACAAACTTTACCGCTTTGTAAGGTTAGTATAGATTTATCGTTTGTTAATAAAAGGTGAACGTTACATTGTGTTATTTTATTAGCCAGGACAATAGCCATATCGAAATGAATATTAATGAAACCGGCTTCAGGATCTCGCAGCATTTGTTGGAGGACTTTAATTTTACATTCTGAAACAAATAAAATATTTATTAGATGTTAGCAGATTTCTTCTTGCTGTAGGGAAACCGGTTTCCAAACTTTTTATGAATGATTGTCGTCTAGACTTTCGTAGGTCATTAGAGCTTTTGGAGCCTCCTTTCAAATAATTTTATTAATTATTTTGTTGAGTGCTATATATTTTTTTTTAATTCGTTTGATGTCTCTTTACCCGTTTGTTGGCAGTTTGAATTTAGTAATATGAGCTAATTTCTAAACAAAACCTCTATTTTACCTCCTGTCTTATACAAACTTTAAATTCCTCTAAAGAAAGTGGTGCGAGTGTTATTAAAGAAGGGTTTCGGAGGTCTCTCCTTAAAAGATATTGAATAGGTCTATGTTGTAGTGTGGTGACTTTTATGCATAATGAAACAAAAACGTACTTCAGTGTCATCTAGCGAAGACACAAGGAATTACGGAGTAAAGCTAATCCTGTATCACGACAAGAACAAAATTCACGCCCATTAGCATATTATATACAACTTCTCAACACTAACCACGGCCCGCCAGACGTGACGTCACTGGTGATCCAAGGTGACTTAACTCGTACCTCCAGAGTTAGTATTCATAAAGGACAAACCCGATGACGTCCGACGAGTTTCTAGTTTAAATACCACCCACAAAATACTTTATTACATATTGGACTGTAGTAGCACTTACCATGATGTCTGGATATACATTGGAGCGTGGTACGATGTAGTCCATTTTGCAGAGGCCGTTCGGTGAGCAGACACCAACCATGTTTCGTGTCACGCAGACGCTGCCCGGTGACCAAGCGCGCAGATACGTCATGTTACAGACGTCAGGACCGGTACATATATTTATCGAAACGTTCGCTGTAATATAATAGCGTGTAATATAATAGCTGTAATATAATAGTTACACAATAATAATAATATTTCGGACATCTGACACACAAAGCCATTTAGGTTCATACTAAACAGAGCTTGTACAATGAAAACTGAATTTAAAGATAGAAGACTTACATACTTTTTTTTTAATACTACATACATATTATAATAGAAAACACACCCAAGGTCGTGTATATACTTACTGTAAAACTGATATTAACCGGTTACCAGATGGTTTTGGTAGCCTGAACATCTAGTGTGTTGGTGAGCTTGTAGATTCCCCCTTCCAATGAGCTCTAGTGACCTCATTGTAGAAATTAAAATCTTTACCTGCAATTTTGGGTTTTTCCAACCCGTCATCAGGAGGGATTTAAGACGCGATTTCACTAGGAGGTGTTGGACCTATGATCATTTAACCCGATATAAGAATAAAGTCGCGTGAAGCGGCATACGATGTCGCCCGCGCAACATTTATGATTGACAAGCTTATCCAGGCTAGGTGTGAGTCAACCCATGCCAGATTTAGCCTGCCTAACACGACTTCAGGTGGCGCGCAAGCTCCCATCTACAAACTGGTCGATGTCTAGACAACAACAAATATTACACTCCCCGCGTTCATTGATATTGCAGTGGAATGCACTCCCTCTGCGTCACATGATCATCAAAATCTACGAACAGAACTTCGAAAATATAATGCTATACTCACGCCCGCGGTAATCCGGGTCGGGCCAATCGCGCGGGAATGGGACCTTAGCTGCAGCAATCGTCTCCAGAGCCGCTGTTTGTGCCGTAACACACCGCGACTCCGTGCTGTCCTCAGCATTGCCCGGCAGTACGCAACATATGCCGCACATGCCCATCTCGGTTAGTATATCCTTATGGTAATAATTTCAGACTTAATTATAATTCTTGATTATAACATGTCTTACAAGAGGTTTCCACAGAGAGGCCTAATGCTATCGAGAGAAAATTTGAAATTGAAATCATGTAACAAGAAACATGGATCGATGAATGGAAAGATGACCAATAAATAACCATCGTCCATTTGTTATAGTCAGCGCAGCATTGTCCTACAAATGGTAATATTCTATATCAAATAAAATTTATTAATGTATCAAAGTATTTTAAAAAATGAACTGCTATTCTTTTATAAATTGAGCGTAAGCTGGCAAGGTCTATCTATTCTTTTTAAAGCTATTGAGAGTCCAAATAGTCTTTAATGAAAAAGGAACATAAAAGCTACCCGGTAATCTAGTGTTTTTTTATGAACTAAAAAAAAATACTACCGGTTACTCGTCTTTCGGGTCAGCTAATAATATGATGGAAACGATTAACTGAACAAAACATAAGTGCCATTTTGAAGGTAACTTGTGGGTAAATAAGGGCACTCGAACCATGAGATTATAGCCTCCGCTTAAAGGAGACTCTTGGCAAAACTTACGTAATTTGGAGCTGAGTATTATTACTTTACGTACGGGGACTTTGCCTTTAACGCACTGGCATTCTTTCAAGCCCAGCCTTGCACACTCGGCAGCATGACAGGTGCCATCTGGCAGGCATCTGCCTCCGAGTCCACATCGACAGTCGCTGTCAACTCGAGCGCAATTGCAATCCTGGTCTTGCATTCTGCAGTCCTATAATTGTATAAGATTTCACTGTTTTCGTTGAAGGGAAGTGAAACAAGGTTTTTAAAAGTCTAGTAGTCACATACTTAGTAATACATAGTCTAGTCATCAACAGCCTTTAATAATCCACTGCTGGACATAGGCATCTCACTAGAAAGCAGATTTAGGCCTACTATAGGACGCTCTCCAGACGATTTGGTATAGGGTTTGTTTCAAGTTTTACTTCTCTATGCAGTGCTTTTGTCCAGCGTAGTTGGCTCCCTTAGTCGGCCCTTACGATACGGGATGAATAGGGGTGGTGACACTTCGTATTCTTAATCTGTCACCACACGGACCGGACGGACGGGATGTGTCTAGTAATACATTTAGAATTGTATGGATAGCTTAAATCCAACGATGATTGATGAAGCCGAAAACTTGAATCCAATTTAAAAAAAATGTACTAGTTACAATTATTTAGGCTCTAATAGTAAAATTGATTTTACAACGCAGTGAGAGTGACAAATTAGTTTAACTAGGTACATTTAACAAACAAAAGGCTCGAATAATAGAAACAGGACTGAAAACGGCCAACGAATAAACTAACAAGTACTTAATTAAAAATCAAAATGCAAAATAATAACATAAATTATAGTGGTTATCATCATCATCAAGCCTTTAATAGTCCACTGCTGGACATAAGCCTTTCCTTACAAAGGAGATTTTGGCCTACTATACCATACTGGTCAGACGGGTTGGAATAGGGTTTCTGTCGACTTTTCCTTCTTTTTGCAGTGCTATTGTCCTGCTTTGTTTGTTCCCTTAGTCGGCTCTTACGACACCGTATTCTTAATCCGTCACCACCAGTATCCAGATTAGCCACGTAGCAAGAGTAGCAAATGCTACAGGCCCCTCGCATTTAGGGGCCCCGCGCACCAACGCTTTCACAATTCTTATCACTAAAGAGATATCTAAATGTCCATCTATAATATATGTATTTCTAAAAGTAAGCGTTGGTTGCACCAGAAATCGTCAAATTGCCAGCGAGTGCTGAGCCTAGTCCTCACTGCAATTGCAGTGATGGCAGGCGAGACTCAATTCCCTTCTAGTGGCCAGACGCGGCGCTTCTTAAAAGTTCACCCCACGGGCTGTAATCAAATAACAGATTACGCCCAGCCCGGGTGGGAACTCAACTAGAAGGGCCCAGTCGTACCCTATGTTACACAGGAGGGGCCCAAGACCAGACCCCCGTCTAGTCAACCAGCCAACCCCTTTGGCCAGCTTGGTAAAACCTCCTTTCTAAGGAGAGGCTTATGTCCAGCAGTGAACTGTTATAGGTTGTTGATGATGATGATGAATACCATAAACTACTTAGATAACTTGAATTTGCTACAGGCCCCGCACTTGCTTAATCTGGCACTGGTCACCACACATAATTATAGAATTTTTATAATTATATTTTAAATAAGTAGTTAGTTAACTGTTATTGGTGTTAGTTAAATTTGGTGTTATAAAAGTAAAACGCATTTGAGTAGGTATGCAAAAAAATCTCGTGATTATTTTCTTAAAATTTTAAATTAGCACAATGCAATTTAGTAGGACCAAAATGGCGCTTCTAACTTCTACGAGTAAATGCAATCTGAAAGATGAAGATGGCACCACGAGGCATTGATTTATTGGTTCTCTCTACATTTATTTACGCATTTGTGCAGCCTACTGTACGTAAAATCTCAAGAAAATACGATATTCTGTCTTTTACATGTTTTTAGGTTAAGTATCTATGGGCAAGATTAAAGAATTAAGTCACTAGACTAGCACAGGGAAATAATTTGTATTCTTTTGGGTCTGGCATCAAAAATTAATTATAAGTTAGGTAAATAGTAAGAGTGGGAGTTATTTTAACGTGCTCATGACCCATTTACCTACATTAGTATCTTGAGTTTATTTGTTAAGGCCTACGAGCTTAGATGCTTAGATGAAATTAGGGCTGATACAGTCACGCTAGTTAACGCCGAAGAAGTAAAGAGTTGCTGGAGGGTCTGGATCGTGACCCCTGGGATCGCCCCTATCGTGCGGTGAAGAAAAGTTCCGCGTGTCGGCCCACACCTCCCCCTTACCGAGACTCTCCAGCCCAGGTGGTGGTGGTACAGGAAGTCGATAAGGGCCTTTTCCCGCAACGGGCGGAGCACACACCCCCGTCGATTCGCTTCCTTGATCAAAGTCGGCCCTGATCTGTCGGGCGCCCATTCGGCTTCCGAACCGGGCCACAGTGATTCGGCTTGAACATGCTAGCGGGACAATATTCATGACGTACTTCCAGGAACCACTGATAATGACTTGTAAAATAGCCCCCCCAAGTAACGAATTCCAAGAATTAATTTTTTTATCACCTCATAAAGGTATCTTATCAGGGGGTCAAAGTAACCTGTATAAGAGAGGTCATTTTCATTTGCAAATCAGTTTCATTGTATGCACACTTGTGATAACATATTTTAAAATCGGTAGCAAAGTGAAACGAGTTTTTGATGATGGAATATTCTGTTGAAGGTATGCACTCTATTATGACTTTAATTTTTTATAAAAAATATGTATACTTTAGGTGTAATATCAATTTGTAAATGTAAAGATTTCTTTGTAAACAAACATGATTCTGCTTTACACACATAATGAGTAGGTAGACGTAGCTAATTAAAGAACAATTAGCGCGAATAGTGAGCAAATGCGACACATTAGTAAACCACTTCCGTCTTGCATCTACATATTTTCAATTACTACACATACAGTACACATTTTTCAACTTTTTTTTTAAATAAATTAAGATACCTGGAATATACATAAACAATTGAAATGAGTGAAGAAATAATATTGTCACTAGCTAGCTTGTACTAGTCGAGACACTGTGCGGGCGTCCGACAAGACTACTTAGAGGAGCGTACCATCATGTACGATGACCGAGATGGTGTTTTGAGGCATCGGGCCGGTTCCGCAGGGGTCTGTCTTTGGACCACTCTTGTGGAACATAGGGTACGACTGGGCCCTTCAAGCTGATATTCCCCCCGGGCTGGGTGTAATTCGTTACGCCGATAACACTTTGGCCACGGCCCGGGGGCGAACTTTCAAGATGCGGCGCATTGAGGCGTTGGGCTTACGGGTGGCCCTGGAGAAGACGGAGGCCCTCTTGTTCCATAGGCCCCGTCGTGGTCCTCGCCCTGGCGCCTCAATCGTGGTCAACTCAAATATTCTTCTGGCCAAATTATAGAACTGTTTTAAATTTGTAATTACGTATCAATGAACTGTAGCCAATCTTCGCTGCTTTCTACGAAGTCAAATGTCCTCCAGATTGTTATTTTTTTTGCATTCCAGGTTACCATGTACCAAATATAATATGTACCATATTTCTATCATGGCTCGTTGGTCGTCCTGGCTGGGGCTCCATGTGCTGGTTTTGCCACCGTGGAGGCGCTCAGCACTGGACCCTTTCCTTCCGACTGACGCAGGTTCTTTCCGGGCACGGCTGCTTCGGGAAGTACCTGCACTCGGTCGCTAGGAGAGAATTGAGTCCCACCTGTCACCACTGCGATTGCAGTGAGGTCTCTGCTCAGCACACGCTGGCAATTTGCCCGGCCTGGGCGCAGCAGGATCGGGTCCTCATTGCAGTCATTGGAGGGGGGCGGAGGCGCTTACTGGCTGGCTGGTGCTAGGAGGGGTGCGGATGTCGTAATAACAGCAGTTCCCGGATCCCTCCTATTACATGCGCAGAGTGGCACACCGTGTGGTTTAAGTCGCTCCGATTCCGACACACCACCCCGACGCAAACAACGGTGGGGGTCGACTTAAGAAAAAAAGCACACTACTTAATCTTTACCGAAAATTTTACGACTGTATGTCCGTTGTATGACCGAATGTCGTTCTCTCAATTTCATTACGTTGCAGAATTTAAATCCTTTGTAAAATTAGTAAGTAGGTAATCGGTATCGCGTGTGTTCTACACCTAAGTAATGCTAACATTATTAAAATTCGACAACGAAGATAGTAGGTACATTTCAAGGTCTTTATGAAACAAGATCAAGGTTCAATTGTTTATTTTGTCATTATATCTTAAGTCCTTTTGACACCAATATTATTAGTAAAATTTTCATCGCAATGTTGCCTCTCAAAGATCCGGTGTTTGCTAAATTACTTTCCGTCAATCCTTACAATGTGCGTAATTATGTTTCGTCACGTCTCGAGACTTTATAAAGACGAAAATCGGCGACAGTGCAACAAATATTGGCCTTCTATTAAAACCGTTTCCAAGGTACCTAATAAAGACGACAAAGTTATGTGAGTAGTTTAGTAGACGTCATACGAATAAATTGAATGATGTTTTTATTGTTTTTATTTCAAAGTTGACAGGCCTGTTTGTCTAGTGGTTAGTGACCCAGACCGCTAATCCGGAGGACATGGGTTCGATTTCGATTCGGTCTTTGTTCTGAGCCTGGGTATAATTTATTTATAATACGTAATTATAATAAATATTTAATTATGTTTATCGCAGTCTGGTTAAAATAGTACAGGCTCTGCCTGGTTTGGGGTCAGACGGCCGCGTGTGAGATGTGTGATGTTATTATTATAATATTATTATTGGTGCCTGGGCAATTAATGTGCCAATGCCCATATTTTATGTGGCTGGAGCCTTTTTTAACTAATATCCAAAAATAACTGTGAATTCATAATGAAGTATTTTAAGTTACATTTGATTACGATGCGTTTTGTCCGTGGTGATATGTTTCTCACTTTGTCTTATCTTAATTGGCTCGTGCCGTGAATATGGCTACTATGTTCTTAATGGTTTTTTGAATATTAAACACATTATGTTTTTGAAATGGACGTTCGATGTTTTTCATTTTTTATACCTACGATATATTAAGTAACTATACAACGTTAGTTACGAAAAAACATAAGGAACGACGCCTTATAAACAATAGGAAATACCGTTATAACTCTTTTAAAAAGAGCTTGAATTTCTGAATTCGGTTGAAGATATGTATCTCAGAACTTAGTCAAAGAACTCCGTCCGTTAGGCTCCAACCAAATTCGAAAAAAAAACAATCATAATGATAATAGGTAGTATTTATAAACATTGATGTGAAAATAATACATAACTATTGTAAACCGACTCTTTTCGAAACTCTTCGAACTCGAAATTATGTTCCAAGTGCGTCAAAATGTTTGTTGATGCAATTTATAAACATATTTTAATATTTTGTTTATTGTTAATTATTTTATTTTAATTAATAACTGCATATATTGAGTTAAGTTATTTAACTATCCGAAAAGTTCTTTGTTTGGAAAAAGTACTCTATGCCAATTGCGCACCCCTAATAAAGTGTATGCAAAACTTCATAGTGATCGGTTGAGAATTTTAGGGGTAAAAGCATAAAGACAACCACCAATTATCATCTATGGATAACAGTAGCAAAATTCCTATTCCAAACTTAACACACATTAGGTTTATCGTAATCAGTATAAATGAAGGTATCGCGGTATGATAATGTAAATCTATTATATGACATGGCGTCGTCTTTATGTTAATTTAATTGTTTAATAATAATAATAACTACTACTAATAGTTGCTGTGGAATGTGAATTTGATGACAAACTAATTCTAGAATTGATTTTGAATTGCAGTTATTTATCCTCAATACAATAGATACTAGGTAAACGCGGTGACATTTACAAAAAAAATGGATATGTAATTACACAGTTAAATTGAGCACAACAGAAATAATAAAAATGGATAACACACACTCTATTTCCACAAAATACACGTGCACACAAAAAGGCACCCTAAAAAACGCTTGCTACTATGTCTTAACTCACTAATTCCTATAAACCCAGAAGGCTGTAATTTTATTTGAAAAATTATTAGAGCTGAGTGTATATACATAGTTTTGAACTCAGCCCACACATTTTGCACACTCAACTCCATCCAGCTCCCGGTTTATATATTACACCTAGTTAATTCGTTTTTGGGAACTTCTTAGATGTGACGTAAAACAGCATGTTTTAATCAGAAACTCCTCATGTATTGCGCTCATCATATCACATATCTTCTCTATAATCTCTCTGCGATTTTCTTAATAAATTTGGAAATTTTAATTGTGTAAAATATTATGTGATTACTAACAATACCACTCTTAGTGAGGTCAGCCAGCATGCACTTGGGGGTACAGCACAGACCTTGAGAGGGGTGGCACATCGCTAAGGGAGCCACGGAGCAGCCCTCTTTGTGTAGAGTACTGGAAGAAATAATAGAAAGGTATAAGTGTATTCTATTCTAAATATTCTCATATTTAGAATAGAATACACTTTATTGTACATCAGTTTTTTGTTGTCTTTACAAGAGTGTATCAAATTAATGACCATGTACAAATGGCAGCCGTATTGCTAAGCAGAGATTTCTCACAGGCAACCTTTGGATGAACAAATCGACTGTAAATAGATGAATTTATAGCTAGTATTGATTTGGAAAATTTTAAAAGAATCATAAAAGACGAGTCGCTGAACTGTAGACGAAAGCATCGCAATGTTGGCGACATCAAAGCGATGCCAGCGCCGCGACGAGCCGGCGTACTTTACATTCTTATTACCTACTATAACCCGGCAATCTCGTGCGCGACCGTCCTGCGGGGTGACAGACTGGCGGGGGCGAGGTAGCGCGTCATTCTAGCACACGGCTACACACGAAGAGAAGCGTTTCCCTTCCCCGCTACACCACCCGCTACCCGCTGACATCTTGAGTACCTCGTCTCCGCCACCGTCTGTCACCCCGCAGGACGGTCGCGCACGACGTTGATGGACTATAATCACTTACTTTGGCCGTGAAAGTCACTCGCGGTGTTATGGATGAAGATACCGATAACCCAACCCGAAAAATTTGCGGGGCTCGTTACAACACGAAGTCTTGGGCACACGATAACATTAATTTTTCACACCATTGCCGTGTATTATGATGAACGCAATAAGACAACAATTATCAACACAATAAAACTTTTCTAAACAAATATCGCACAAACAACAACAAAATTATTATTACGATAATTTGTCGTGAGCGCATCTACAAGGACACAGAACAGCATAACACTCAGCGATTCGCGGTGGCTAAGGGCTGTATTTACTGGATGAACTAATTAAAAACGCAATAAACTAAAACATATTTAGTTCGATTCGAGTGTAGTAAAAGCGACGTGTGATGTTACCGCGCCGCGTATACAGCTCATCGCTACACACACGAGATGTTGCAAATTACGAAAAAAAAAATGACCCATTTCTAAACTTTCGCAAATCGTCTAGAAAGAAAGTGCAAAATATGTGGTTTAAAAGATTCGTCAAAAGAAAAAAACACGCTGTACAGTATATTTATAATTAAGTATAAAATAAAAATTAGCATAACTACTATTTTTTTATAAAACTGGTCCCTGGCACACTGGTCACCTGATGGTGAGTAAGGTGGTCGTCATCTAAATATATTTGGAAAAGCCACACTGTTTCCACGTGGGCATAGCACATTTTTTTTTAAAAGCCAATCAATGTTATGTAAAATAACATAGGGCAGCCGAGACAGGTTAGGTTAGTTACAAAGACAAAGATTGTATGTTTTTTTTGTTTAAATGAAATTTAATTCCAGCCTAATGCTTAAATATTCTATTAGTCACAATACCAGTAATTCTACCAATAACTGGAATTGTGTTTATACTCACGTTCATCCAAAAGTACCTAATCATCGCCCAGCTCCTAGAAAATGTGAAATAAGACATAGAATATAATTTTATTTACCCCTCTTTATAAATAAGAGCACCCCCTCCTCTGGGAGTACAGCAGGGATCTTTATGCACACAACGCGAAGGCAGACCACAATCACAAGCCTCTCCTTCTTCCACTATACCTGGAAACATGACGGCTTGATTAGTACTACTGTTTACCCGAAACACAAGTTTTAAACGTACACAAAATTCTCAAGCATCATCTGGATCATAGTTTAAGTTATTAAAATACTTGCTTTGATTCTGCAAGGAACTAAAAACGAAAAAGACTTTTACTAGCCATCACTTGGTTCCATAATTATAATTAAAGCATCGTTGACATGCCTTATTTGTTTAGAGCCTGCCTGCCTTTGTTTTGTGTTTGCCTAGAGCTCCATAATATCAGACTTTATAGTATCGTTTTTATCTTATAATTAAAATTTGTTCAAAGAGCTTAAAATTAAAAAAACACTATTAAGGTCAATAAATTTAGCGTTTATTACGGGTTTTGTCAGTTCTCTGTAGACTTAAGAGGGGATAGAAACAATAATGCCGAATTACTAAAAACCAACTTAATCACAACTCACCATTCCCACAATACGGTATGTCTTCTTCCATAAGACAGTAGCTCATACTGCTCAGGGTGGCTGCTATTAAACGCTTGCTGCAGAGTGAAAACTCAAAGTTCATGCCATTCTCTGCCGTTGAAGACTGTGAGCCCATCAGGTGGCCGCGGCATTCTGGGTTGGGGAAGTTGTCGTCATGATGTGCGCCAAAGCTGTGGCCTGGGTGAAGATAAATGAAAAGCTTCGGTAACATAAATAGACATCTGACGTCTAAGGATGCTAGTTAGCGATGTTTTCACAAATAATTTTAGTTTATTTAATGTTTGATACTAATTTAGGATGCCAAACACGCTATAATGATGTTTATGTAAGGTTTTATAATACCCAAAATAAATAATGCTCTCATGTCTGTCATAGATAGATAGCTCATAGATCTACAGTAGAGTAGGGAAAATACCAATGATATTTTTCGTGTGACCAAATCCGCAGTCCGCATCTGCATGATTATATGATTATAAATTTAATTACAGAGTAAACTTTGTGGATTACCACATTTCACAACTTCTAAAAAAGACCATGAAGCTTGAAGATGTTCGGAAATGCGTGACCGAAAGACATCCTTCTATCTATCAATCTCAGAAACAGTGGTAATTGTTGTCAATAAAGTTATACCCATTTCATGAGCGAGCGTCAGTGCGGCAATCCTCTCAGGCACTCTGGCTTTGTCTTCTGTAGTTGCGTGTGCTATGGCCAAAGTGTTGAAGGAGCGTCCGTAAGCGCGTCTGTCGCAGAGACCACCGGCGGCTCCACCCATACCACCGCCCAGTGATGTGAAACTAAGCGAAAGTAAAGGCTAAAGTTTTAGAGTGTCTTAGAGCTTAACATGAAAATTCAAGAAAATAAATCTGTTTAATTTTGTTCTGCAATGTAAAACTTAAATACACGGAGTTGAATGTTTCCCAAACAAAAAATAAACGTGGAGTTAACTTCGAAAAGGTATATGCAACTCAATGTTACGGCGAGTCTATTAAATTGTACCTAATAATGTCAATATACATCTGCCCTTTCATATATCGCTGGTTGCGGATGCTTCTAATCAATTTTTTTTCAGGATGCTATTACCATGATAGATTCATGTCTTTTAACTTTAACGAATCCTTGAAGTCTTATAGCTATGTGGATTTTGCTATAAGTTCAGTACTTATTTGTAACACAGATACATCTATGCCAGAAGAAAATATATTTTTCAACTCGTCTCATTCCTTAAGACACAGCACCTAGTTACAAGAAGGATAAATTAATTTAATTTAGGATGTCTTCGTTCTGCAGTGGACGGCGACAGGCTGATTATTAAATAGACGTACAGAAATCTATATTTGACCATTATTTATTTAATGCAATTTTGGTTTAAATAATTTATTCTCAAAAAGACAATACAAAAGCCCCTTGCATGAGAACACAAAATTAAATTTCTCAAAGGAGGTTAAATGCCAAAAATATTTTTGTTAGCAACAAAACTTTATTCAGGGCAAGCTGTTATTGGGCACGCTGTTATCGCGGAGGTAAGACCCATTATAGAGGATTGGCTCGAGAGGCATCACGGGACCCTCTCATACCGGTTGACGCAGGTGATCACGGGGAAAGAATGCTTCGGGGATCAGCTGTGTCTGATCCGCAAGGAGCCAACGCCTGGGTGCCACCACTGCGATGGCTGGACCGTGGGCACGGCGCTCCACACTCTAGCAGAATGCCCGGCGTGGGTGGAGCAGAGGCGTGACCTCGTGGCAGCCAACGGGGTGGGAGATCTCGCTCGGTAACATGATTGCGGCCATGGTACGGAGCGAGAGTGCGTGGAAATCCGCCGTCTCCTTCTGCGAGCAGGTTATGCTTGCGAAGGAGATGGCGGAGCGAGACCGGGAGAGGTTCAGAACCCTCCCGGCTCGCAAGGCCCGAGACCGGGTCAGGTACCGTAGACGGCTAGTACGCCGGAGGTCACAGACCGACCTCCGTCCTCCATAAGCGCAGGCCTGAAGGTGACAGGTGAGGCCATCTGTCACTCTAGCAGAAGCAGGCCGGGGTGGGTAATGGCGCGACGCAGGAGCTGAGCAGGAAGGGAACAAGTGGTTTTTCGTCGGTTCGAGTCCGACATAATCACCCACTGGTGTGTGGTATCCGAAGGGAGTTCCGCACAGAAAAAAAAGGGCAAGCTGTTATTGACAACTCGTCAATGGCTACAAAATTAAGTAAAGTGAAAGAAATAAACAGATAGAGCAGTTTAGCAGATTAGCCAAGAGAGCAATAAAAGTATGGAACTGTTTGATGTTTTTCGAATTATATTTACATTTACTTTTTAAAACACACGCTTAAAAATGTTATTTTTTACCTCAAACCCAGAGTTCTGTTCTGAAAAGCATGTCCCGAAAAGGCCACACCAAGACATACTTCCGATAAGCGTCTTAGCCGCGCGAACCTCATCAGATAGTTCCGTCCGTTGATAGCCTTGGTGGACAATAAGTCGCCGAATACTCTCATATTCGTCTCGGTAGAAGTCAGGACCAGGATATACTTGACCGAAAAACCTAGAGTCAGTAAATATTAAGAAAAACTACCCAATCTAACCCATAGTATACGCGAATATATTTGTTTATAAATACATACATACAATATCCTGAATGATAATCCAGAGGACGTGAGGTCGACTCCCACTTAGGACAAATAATTGTTTGATGAGCACCATAATTGACTTTATGTAATTTAACTAAAATATATATAAGTATTTAGAAAATTGTGGACGGCCGTATATTATGAAATCACATCATCACATCAACAGCCTTAGATAGTCAACTTAGGCATCACCTTAAAAAGGAGGTTTTGGCCTGCAATACTACGCTGGCGTAACGGGTTGGTATAGACTTTGTGTAAAGTTTTCCTTCTTTTTGCAGTGCTGTTGACCTGCTTAGTTTGCTCCCTTAGTCGCATCTTACGGGGTGGTGACATTCCGTATTCTTAATCCCTCTACACACGGATTATGGAATTTGTCAAGTTATTATTGTTAAATATTTTGTATAGAAACATCTACATCAGTTCGGTTCATTCACCCATGTACTTAAATATTTGCTCAGTAGAATAAAAACCCATGACCCTGAGATTGCAGTAAAACTTTTCGATGCAACACACACAGCACACTGCCTTTAGTACGAACAACAATAAAAACGAGTCATCCATCATTAACATTAGAAGTCCTTTTACTAAAAATATAATTTAACTTACCGATATTATCAGGAACACCATCTTCATTGAAATCAGCATTTCTGAAAATGATGTCAGCTTGCGCGATAGCATGCATCATTCTTCGCACCACGTGATTTAGGCTGGAATTAGCGTCTTTTTCAAAGAACTCCTTGTCAGCAAGCAAGAGCAGGTCACAGATTCTGGCCCGCGCTACACCGGGGACTCTTGAACGATTTTCTATACTGAATGGGAAATATCCCACCGAGCGCGCAAATATGGATCGTTGAGGGGGCTGAAAATAAAAGTAGGTTGTTAAATAAATTTAATAGCTTAATATAGTCAAAATTATTTAAAAAAACTTAAAAAAATGGCCGTTTTTATTTGTTTTATGCCTAATCAATCTAATAATTAAATATCTATATAAATAAAAATAAATGGTTAAATATGTTGCTAAGCGCAAAAATCGAAAATTTGTGGTCCGATTTAATTAATTTCTTTGTATTAATCTTATATATAAAATTCTCGTGTCACAATGTACTCCTCCGTACTCCTCCGAAACGGCTTGATCGATTCTCAAGAAATTTTGTGTACACATCGGGTAGGTCTGAGAATCGGCCAACATCTATTTTTCATACCCCTAAATGGTAAGGGTGACCCATCCCTAAATTATTTTTTTGGCAAAACAATGTTTGCCGGGTCATCTAGTAGTATTATCTTACTATTATAAGTATAATTCTAATAGGTTTTTTAAGCGAAGGAAAGTCATAAAAACTGCCCGGGAAATAGAAAATTCAGGGTAAACAAATTATTGTTGTGAATTATGACAGGACAGTCTGTCGAGAAAACTAGTTAATGATAAGTGAAATGACTTTATTTGCGTACCTATCCATCGTCTCTACTGAAAAAATAACGATTTGATTTGACATGTCTCTCTTATTGTGATTTTTATGCATTAATTCATAAGGCTGAAAATTGTTTCTAGTTTTTTTCCATAGAAAATGTTTCGAAAACATTTCGACTTTGTAAGACGCGCTGTTAGCTGGCGTCTACGCACAGCCGCACAGTATGTCAAGAGATCTTAAAATCGGGCATGCTCGTTTTAATCAAACGTTTAGGGCTCCTTTTTACAAATATCATAGTAAAAATTCTGTTTGAAAATTCCATATTGTTTTCTACAAGTAAAAATTTTAAATTAATTAATTTACTCATTTCAAAAGGTTTTTTTTTAAATAACTAATTAATCTCAAAAACTTTACACTATTTTATAGACCCCTTAGAAATACACGTATTAAGCGTTTACCTACTCGTAATATGCTTGTATTTGATCAGGTATTTTTTTTTGTTATTTCAGTTTTTATTTTGTATTCATGATGGCATGATATTCTAGTAACATATAGAAAATTAGCTTTAAATTCCGTGGTATATTTGAGAGAAAATTTTACAATATTTTACGTTTTACAAAATTTTCACGCGTCTAGGGTTGTCTCACCAGTTATGCATATAGTATTATTATAGGATGCAATGCATTTTTCTAGTTATAGAATAAACATAGTTCTAATAATTAAAAATATAAATTTCACGCGATTCGGTTTCGAGTTGACTTGGCCGTTTGTTTGGGGTTTCGGTAAATACGTTAGGTATTTAACGGTGGAAATAAAAAAAAACTGAAAAGTTAAAAATATGAGTGCTATTAAAAAGGCATACTGCATTTTAAATATATATATTTTTTTAATTTTTAATATCTGTGTTTTATTTAGTTATTTCACTTTATTTAAGTCAAAATAGAAAATAATAATTAATTATCTTACAATATTGGTAAAGCATTAACAAAATAAAAATAGACCTTTCAACGTGACATCCCTGATGCAGATTTTAAATTTATCTTTTCTCTACTATAGGTACCATGGCATTTAAAGCTAAGTTTTTATACACTACTAAAATACATATCACGCTATGTGTTGGAATAAAAAAGTTTGCATATGTCATACTGAAATTGAGTAAAGAAATAACGTGTAGTTCTAAGGGGTCTATGAGATAGTGTAGAGTTTTCGAGTTTAATGCTATTTGTTATTAAATAGGATTGTTTTTGCCTTTTTGAAATGAGTAACTTGATTAATTCCAAATTTTTATTTCTAGAAAACTATGATGATGTAATCCGACCGATTTCGGCCATGGCGACCACTACTAGAAAACTATGTGGAATTTACAAACAGGAGTTTTACTATAGATTTGTAAAATGAGCTCTAAACTTTTGATTAAATAACGAACATGTCCGATTTTAAGGTCTCTTGACATACTGTGTGCCGGTGTAGTGAGCATGTAACCATAGAAGTAGTTCGTGAGCATTCTTGCCAACGCGCAGCGGCGAAATTCCAGAGGGTTTTATTTTAAAGAACAGGTCATTTTTGTTTCCTAGTTCTTTTACATTTTTTATAACTTTTTTAATAAAAACCTAAGCAAGGTGCTCCGGAAGTTAGAAATTAGGAAAGAATACAAAACCTAGCCGGTATAGTAATATATGTAACCTTTGGATAAAAGGTATTTCGGTATATTAACTATTTCTACTACAATCAGAAGCTGAATATGAATTTGTGAAGATATCTTCACTTTCGAAACTCTGCCAAAAAAGGCAAAGTCATCACTAAAAAAAGTCATCATCTTCACCTGATCACCTGAGCATGATCGCGACGAGAGCGAGGCGCCGCCATATTGTCGTTCTCGAAGGCACCGAAGAACTTGGTAGGGTCGTCTTTGCCATAAGGATCGGCGTGGAGTGTACGGTTGCCTGTTTTACAGAGTTCCTTTTAAACATATTTATTATTTAATTTTCACTTAAGAATGGCATTCGTACAAATAAAATCTTTAACTCAATGAAGCAAACTTAAAAAAAACCCCATTAGTTTTGTATACTGCCTAAATTGTGCAAAGAAAGTCCATAATCGAGTTTTGTATTGCCACCATTTCACTTAGTATCCAAAGATCTCAGAGGTTGCATGACAAGAAGTAGTAGCTAAATAAGCCCTTGATGTTTTGAGACAGAGCGAAAGGCATCAAAATTAACATTTAAAACCCTCCGTCGAGATTTCTAGTCTATTCGAGTACATCATCACTACACACAACACGCTCCACTATTCAGTCTGTTTCCTTATATTTGTTTTAAATGAAAAGTGGACATATTTGTCATCAAGTATTGAAAATCAACCTGACGTTCCTATTCCATCTAATTTTTTCACCCTTGTTAAGTTATGCTTAAAGGCCATAACCTCTTCTTGCATCTCTTCGTTCTCAAAGCTTTTATAAAGACAACTCCCGTACTAGGAATATATCCTGTATTACGGGTTACTTTACAAACATACCTGAAGGGGATACAAAGAACACTCAGACGAAGAACAAAAATGTTAATTGTTAAGTGTGGACGACACTTTGTGTAATCCATGACGTTGTGTGATCACACCAAGTGTTGTCCCATGTGGGGATCAAACTTACAACAATCAGCGAAGTAGGAAGTAGGTGACCGCTTAAACCACCACGCCATCTGTGAAGTTTTGTTTATTTGCTCGTTCGATGGAACTTTCATTTGAACATTTGTTTACTTAATGATTCAGTTTGACAGAAGCTAGGCTTGAACTACTATTTTACCCTCGATTTGTATTTCAAATCCGAAGATAATTATCAGTAACAACAATTATGTTTGAAGTTGACGGACTTGTTGGTCTAGTGGGTTAGTGATCCTCACTGCTGAAGCAGAGGGTTCGATTCCCACTCAGGACAAATAATTGTGTGTTGAGCACGATCATTTGTTATGTGTCTATGTGTAATTTATCTATCACATGTATGTTTTTAACTATATTTGAGTAAGTAAATTTATCAGCAGTCTGGTTACCATAGTACAGGTTTTTAATAAGTAATTGTTTATTTTTTACTATTGTGCTCCTAGCATATCATTTTATCATCATTTTTATAATTTAATTATTATTGCTTGACATTAATTAAAAATATCAATATTTTTTTGACCATATGACATTATGTATTAATGTGTTATTGCTTCAAAATATGAGGTTTCATTTTGAATGTAAATGTCTCTCTCTCTCTCTTTTCATATTTTTGCATGCCTTATAGTTTAATATGGTGAAAGAACAATGATTGTATTCGCTTATAATATCTGCAAATTACAATCATAATCGCAAATGAATAGTAATAATAATAACCTCACACATCTTACACGCGGCCGCCTTATATGCCTACCAAACTAGGCAGAGCCTGTACTATGGTAACCAGACTGTTGATAAACATACATATATGAATGAATTATGAGTGTTTTTAGGGTTCCGTACCTCAAAAGGTAAAAAAGGAACCCTTATAAGATCACTTTCTTGTCCGTCTGTCCGTGTGTCACCACCGATTTTCTCAGGAACGGGTAGACCTAGGACCTTGAAATTTATACCAGATACTGAGGTCTATGGTCCCTATTGGGTGTATAAAAATCAAGGTCCTGAGTCAACACGAGAAAAGGATATGGGCAAATTTCGATTTCAGCGAAATCTTGTAAGTATCAAAATTTACCTAAATTTTCAATTTTTTTTATTTTTCAGATTTTTTTCTTTAGTTGTGCTATAAGAACTTCTTTTTAAAAAAAATTGACAATTCTAGGTCAACCGGAAGTACCCTATAGGTTTTGGGTCGAAAACTTATATGGTAGTTCCCGTTGACTTAGAATCACGAAATTTGGCAAAAAGAAACGTCTTACAGCACCATTCTAGGAATAATTAAAAAAAACAAAAAAGTTGAAAATTAAGATAAATTTTGGTACTTACAAATTCTACGTAAATCTACGTAAAATCTGGGTAGGTACGGAACCCTCGGCGCACGAATTCGACTCTTGAATTTGTTGCTTATTTTGCGTTTTTTAATTGCCTCAACCGGTATGAATCCCCGGCCCCACAGAAAACCGGTAAGAAACAATTATTTCGTTGCTTTACACCGATGGAGTGAAGTTACCGAAGGCACAACCCAAATTTTAGTGTCCACTAATTCTGGGGGAGCAGGGGGGATTCTAGAGCTGCAGGTGGTCATGGGCGGTGTCAATCATTTACCATGAGGTGACCCGTAGAAGTTTTGCTCCAATTCCATAATAAAAATAAAGATTAGGTTATACGAGTAAGTACTCATCATTTAAGACCGCTATTTAAAAAAAAAACTAGTTTTATATTATACTAGGTATAACCCCCGGCTCCGCCCGCGTGTATGTCGGTTATCGCAGTAAAAAGTAATTCATGTACTTTCTCAAGACTCAAAAGATATCCATATCAAATTTCATTTGAATCGGTTCAGCGGTTATTGATTTTACTTCCACCCCCTTTTCATCCTCTTAAAGGATGATTTCTGGGATAAAAACTATCCTATGTCCTCACCTGGTACTCAAACTATCTCTATACCAAATTTCATGTAAATCGGTTCAGCGGTTTAAGCGTGAACAGGTAACAGACAGATAGACAGCCAGACAAACTTTCACATTTATAATATTTGTATGGATAATGCTGCAGAGCTGTACGGCAAGTTTTTTATGCACGTCAATAAAATTACGACCGCCGTTTCAACGGGCAAGAGTATGTAACGAGTATACTAGCACTCACTCTGACATAAAATTCTCATTCACATTCATGTGTTTTAATACAAAGATCAATAGTCCTATTATAAGGCTGTAAATCTGCATTAAGCAATAGGTACATGCCTAAAAGCGGTTAGACTCGTTTTGAAGAGTCAATATACAAAAACTAAAACAAGAATTAGCTTTAAGTTCAAATCACAAAATAAATAAGAGTTCGTTCGTTCAACAAAATTCAAATAATTGGTAGAAAGGTGTATATTTAAAACGAGTATATGTTAAGTAAACAAAGATTGGATTAATTTAGCAGAAGAATCCACAAAGAACACCTGTACATTTTTTTTTATCGCCAACAAATTTTATGTGTACTTACACCTTACAGTTGCTGAGAAATTCTTTAATTCTTCTGTCACTAATAGTATATTGATTACTAGATGTACAAAAAATAGTGATCTACATATATGTATTTAGGCACTTTGTGTATTTGTGTATACATATTTACCGGAATTATTATGTAAAGGCGTTAAACATTTCGACGCAAATCTTTACTAAGTACGTAGTTAAATATTTGTTTTTATAAATACTATTTGTACATTAATATTTCTTTCTGGCATCAATGTATTGTTATTTAAATTATAATTTTATTGCAAATTTTTTTTGATGCAAATTCTAAATTGAAGAGGTATTTTTTTTATTACAGGCCATACAGGCGTCACTCCGTGGCCCGGGTTGCTGTCACTTAGTACAGTAGTATAACTAGCGTTTGAAATTATTACAGGATTACTAAAATTTATTCTTACCAAAGTGTAAAACTCCATAAAACTGATGGTCTTCGCCTATATAGCCCTCAGCAGATCCCCTGCCAGGATCTTTTACGGGAAACCCGTATGCCATGGTAATTTCAGATAGCGGAAACCCTTGATATTCCTTGGGGGTTTCGTCCGGGTCAGGTTCTAGGAAGAGGGCTGAGTTGCGGTTCGTTAAAGGTGAAGTCCCTTAAAAAAGTAGCTCCAAGTGCTTTAATATTTACATAAAATAATTGTAAACATTTTTTGCTTCTCTTCATCGAATAGGTGTTCCAAGATTTGGGAGTGAACAGAATAGATCATCTAAGAGTAATTAGTAATTTCATACCGAATAAAATCTCTACCTTAGTTAGACCACAACGTTAAGTAAATAGTAGGCGAAAACCTCCTATATGAGGAGAGGCCTATGTCCAGCAGTAGACTGTTATAGGCTTGATGTGATGATGTGTGATGTGTTAAGTGAATATTACACGACGTCTTCACCTTTTACAACAGCACAAAAATAAATAACAAATAAAACTTCAAGGGTAACATGTTATGTAATGAAAATTAAGTGGTCGTTAAAGTAAAAAAACAAGTCTTTGCCACCATCAAATTTAGGTATGCCCTAATTATAATACGTAGGGTTACATGTTATGTAATGAAAATTAAGTAGGCGTTAAGGTAAAAAACAAGCCTTAGGGTATACCTGAATTTGATCGTGGCGATCAAATTCAGGTATACCCTATGTATAATACGTAGGTAATAAAAAAAAAATAACATCCTACATACCTGAATTAGTAAGTTTATTCGCGACTCAAAGGCAAAGGCAAAGATTTTTTAGTTCTGTATAGCGTTGTGTCATAAAATAATAACTATATCGAAAGCCCGCTGTCACTTTCCTAGCTGGCGTACCACAAAGTATGATATATGTACTTACCAATTGGCTTTAATTGTAAGCATAATGTGTGAACTTCCTTCCCGAACTTTGCCTCAATTAGCTCATAGCCATCAGTTTGGCAAACTACGTCTCCAGTCTTGCCCACCGTGCCGTCAGCCTTGGCAACATGAATGCTCAGGATACAAGTGCAGACCATCAGTACTAAGTCCATAGCTCAATTTAAAATTTCAAGACATGTTGAAAATGTGGTCTCGAATCACCACAGAAAACCAAACACGAAATAAACTGACAGAAATGTCACAATGACGAATGATGATAATTGTTTTCTTGACTTTGACCTGACACTTTCTTGATAAAGAGGTTGAGTGTGACGATTGTGATTATTGGTTCACACTAAGATTTCCTGTAGGAGAAAAGTCTCCCGTTTCCTGGTTATTTTAGAGCAGTTGAAAGGTCTAAAGTCGTTGTTACCTTGTCAGCAGCTATGTGTGCCTAGGTTTCAATTCACCATTAGTTAGATATCACCATTTCAAGCTATTTTTACAAGTGGCACAAGTTTTCTTCTATGCATAGTTTATTAAAAAATTTCTGTTACCATTATCTTTCAGTAATTTTCTTACATTTTTTAAGTATTTTATAAGTGGCTGTTTAACGAGGCTTGTGGTCCATTAATAAGGACACACCATGAAATGAAGTTTCGTCTGCTTTAATTAAATTAAAATTACTTTTAAATAAACACGCCAGGTTTAGAACGCTTTGTTATCAATTTGAAAAAAAAAACAGGGATTTTTCTTAAAATGCCGTTCACTCTTGTCTATATACGCTCTTCAGGTTCATAGCACCATGTTAAAAACCCTACACCCTAAAAAATGGATCTAAATTGTGACATACTAGTGAAGATGTACTGACTTATTAAATAATATGCCATCGTACTCAACGACTTCTGAATTAATTTCAAATGAGATGATTTGAAAACTAATAAACATATCAACCGATAATTTAGTAATAAATTATCAACACAACATCTGTTGATGTAATAAAATCTACTAAAACAACACGGGTACTGGAAACAACCAACATATTTGGTTAAAACCTATGTAAATATTATATAATAGATGATGTTTGAACGCTCTATAAGAGATATTGTGCAGGTAAATATTTTCATATCCTAAAATATTTGTTAAGTTTTTTCGGCTAACTACATTTTTACTATTCCTATAATACACTCATTAGACATTTATTAAAATAACAATGAATGTACGAGTATTAAATAGGTAACTGTAAAAGCTCGAACTACGTTAAATCTTAGGTCTAATCTTTACCAATAAATCTTAAGATTTACCGACAGGAGTTTGTAAATGTAAGATTAATAAAAAGGGGAACAATGTGTTGGTTTTCGGAGGACAACAATAAGTACTTTAATGCTAAATTTGGATTAGGTTTGGTTAGAATAGTAACCATTAAAAGAGATAATGATAAAGATATATTTATTTGCAGAACATGTGTGTATACAACGATACGTAGTCAGAAATATACAGATCTTATTAACAAATTTTTAGAATCAACATGTTCAACCATAAAAGATGTACAAATATAATAAAAGAAGATCATCAATTATCAACAGAAGAGAGATAAGATCCCCCGTATTGTTGCTAAAACATGTCTGTTTATCAACATTTACCGTGTATTTGAAGTAAGTCATATTTGTCGGAGAGAGCCTATGGCCTGTCAGGTCTACTCCAGTAGGACCGGTCTCGGTAGGCGTGAATTGTCGTGCGGTGCTTCGTGGTGCCTTCTTGGATGGTGTCGCCGTCGTGTGCTACGTGGACGACACGCTCGTGACGGCGCGCGGCAAGACGCAATACGAGGCAACCCTGAGGGCCACGGCCGGGGTTGCCCAAGTCGTTGAGTTGAGGAATGTTCTTATACGGGCTTCGGAGGAAACCACCTGAGGGATCTAGCCTCACGGTAGGAGGCACTTGCATCGGCATCGAGCCCTCGATCAGGTATCTGGGGCTCGTACTCGATGGCCGATGGGACTTCGGATATCATTTCCGAGGTCTGGTCCCCAAGTTGGTTGGGGCAACGCGTGCGTTGGCGCGGCTGCTGCCCAACATGAAGGGACCCGATGACTCCTGCAGGAGACTCTACTCGGGGGTTGTGCGGTCCATGGCCCTGTACGGGTGCCCAGTATGGGCGGGGGCCCTGAAGGCCAGCAACCTCGTGATACTGCGACGACCGCAGCGAGTGCTGGCCATCAGGATCATAAGGGAGTACCGCACGATCTCCTTTGAGGCGGCGAGTCTCCTGGCCGGAACTCCACCGTGGGACCTGGAGGCGAGAGCCCTTGCGGCTCTGTATCAGTGGCGCAAGGAGGCGCGGGAGTTGGTTCGGTGTCCCAAGATTCGAGAAATCGATGACCGGAAATTCCAACTCCGCCAGGTCATCATAGGGGGGTGGAGGGAACGACTCGGGCAACCGAGCACCGGGCACGCCGTCATCACGGCGGTAAGACCCGTTATGGAGGATTGGCTCGAGAGGCGTCACGGGACCCTCTCATACCGACTGACGCAGGTGATCACTGGGAAAGGATGTTTCGGGGATCACCTGTGTCTGATCCGCAAGAAGCCAACGCCTGAGTGCCACCACTGCGATGGCCCGACCGTGGACACGGCCCTCCACACGCTGGCAGAGTGCCCGGCGTGGGTTGAGCAGAGGCGAGACCTCGTGGCGGCCATCGGAGTGGGAGTTCTCTCGCTCGATAGCCTGATTGCGGCTATCGTGTGGAGCGAGAGTGCGAGGAATTCTGCCGTCTCCTTCTGCGAGCAAGTTATGCTCGCGAAGGAGACGACGGAACGTGACCGGGAGAGGTTTAGAACTCTCCGGGCCCGGCAGGCCCGGGAACGCGCCAGGTACCGTAGGCGACTCAGGCGTCCTCCATAAGCGCAGGCCTGGGGGCGACAGGTGAGGCCATCTGTCAACCTAGCAGAAGCAGGCCGGGGTGGCGGCGAGCGCGTTGCGAAGCGCTCTCGCTTCCAGGGAGCAGAGGGAACATGGGGTTCCCACCAGGGGGGGGGGGGGGTCGTCTACTCGTCTGTAGATGGCCCGAGGTATGTCGGGCACCAGGGGCTTCCTTTCTAGGGTTTACCTCGTTCCCCGGCTATTAGAACCCCGGACCGCGTGCTATTTTAGTAGGTTCGAGTCCGACATGCCACCGATAGGTGGTATCCGAGGGGATTTCCGCACGGAAAAAAAAGAAAAAAAAAGGGACTGCACGGATAGCGTAATGGTTTAAGCGGTCGCCACGCCGCTTACCACTACGCTGAGTGTTGTGGGTTCGATCCTTACATGGGACGACACTTTGTGTGTCCGTTTCATGTATGTTTGTAAAAGCTCCCCCGCTACGGGATATATTTCTATTGCGGGAGTTGTCTTTATAAAAAAAAAACTTAAGATTCACCAAGTGAATTCTGGTAAATGCTCGAAATTCTGACATTTACTATAACTCGTTGGTAAATCTTAGGTTTTACCCGCAAATCTTAGGGTTTACCGTAGTTCGGGCTTTTACTGTAACATTTACATGATATTAAACTCCAATCTCGAGTGATATTGGATTTTCTCCTATCGCATTTATCGATCGGAGACGTTCTATTGAGAAATAAAACTAAATAACATTGTAGTCTGTAAATAATACTTTCTTAAGGTGTTATAGCATACAGAGCCTTGACAGTATAAGTAGAAGGTACATGACTACCATTGTTTCCATAGGCCAGGTTTTAACTAGTTCGCATTAGTCTGTAGATATTTTAAACAGTTTTAACACCATCGAAGCTTACTCGCTCACTATTAAACCAAGTGGGAACTAAATATAAATTAATTAGCTCACGTGAAGAATTTGTATGACCTGTTATACAGAATCGTGTGACGCCAACCGCAGGCTACGCTTACTAATAGACGACAAGACGTTAATGGCTTCAAATGTTTTGACAGGCGCAGTGGTTTAAGCAGTCGCAACGCCGTTTCTTATTGCGCTGAGTATTGTGGGTTCGATCCCCACATGGGACCTCACTTCGTGTGATAAACAAATTGTTGTTCTGAGTCTGGGTGTTCTTTGTGTCCGTTACATGCATATTTGTAGAGACAACCGCAACGCAGGATATATTTCTAATGCAGATGTTGTCTTTTATATAAAAATAAAAATAAAAAACGGGTAATAGACTAGTAACAGTACTTAATGGGACATTACAGAAGAGATAAAATGAACTTTTGGACGAGACCCGATCATACAAGATATGAGTGCATTGTCCATTTATAACTAAGAAAGTATGTTTGGGATGACATTGGTGCTTTCCTTACAAGATTGCTTCAGTAAGTATCTGAGTCAGGCTGGGTACCAAACTCACGGTGAAATAAAATTTATCTCAGCGTGTCTCGGCGGCGTCTCTTTTAGTCGTAGTCGGGTTCGAATAGATGCAGGCCCGCATTCTTAAAAGGAGAGTAGTATTAGTAGTACCGGTTGACGGACCCAGACGGGTCACACATCGATGCGAGTGGAGAACATCCAAAATTTTCTTCCAGCTTGTTACCTCAAAGAATTACTGATTCAAGTGAGAAAAATTTATGAAAAACCATTAGGTTACTTCAATCTAGAGTTCTTACTTCTTCAGTTTCAAGTACTCATAATTGAAGCATAATTTCATTAGCCTTCATTTCTAATTTTTTAAGTTGTAAATATTAAGCCTGCCTAAAATTTTGTATTAACCCAAGTCAAAGGTAAGTTAAAAGAAGGCAGGTAGGCAAATTCAAAGATCATCTTCTCTTTAATGGTTTCATTTTTTATTACTTATATAAGAACTTATTTAATAAATTTATAAGAATAAAAAAGAAGAGAAAGAGGCCGAAAATTGATCGAAGTGGCGTTCAATGGGAGAGGCAGATGGGGAGGAATAAAAAAGAGAAATATTTATACGAGTACTTTATACGAGTACTTTATATCGTAGACCTGTATAGCAACCTTAGTTACGAACGATTGAGTATCTAATTACGTTTAGAACATGTCACCATTATCGTAACATCGCAATCTTGAACTATAAGTTACAAACGTAGTACATACGAGTACCGTTCAACATCAGTCACCGCTAAGATTCAACTCCATCAATTTAAGTTATGTGAAATCTGTTCCTGGGTATAATTTACCGGCGCCAAGACCGC